GCTGTGAACAGTGTGTCCCTCTGCCTGAGGCCTGGGGAGTTAAGGCCCCCAGAAGCAGCCCCCAACCAGGAGCAGATGGGGGTTGAGGGATAAATACTGCAGCTCCCTTGCTTCTTGGTGGGGCAGACTCTGAGGGACTCCCAGATCCCATGGCATCAGCTCCAGGTGGCCTTGGGGTACCAGCTTGATAACATAGCAACCTCCTTGTCAGCTTCTCCCTTATTCTGTCTCATTTCCCTGCTACTCTGCTGGTGTTTCTTGGGATCAGCTCCCAAATAAACAGTGTGTGCTCAAATCCTTGTCTCAGGGTCAGCTTCTGGGGGAAGCCAAACCAAGACACCTGAGAAGCCTAATCATTTATTCCACGAATATCTGTGTTTCTGCTCTGAGCCAGGCTCTGTTGGCTCCATCCATGAGGGTCCCATTTTGAACAGGGTGGGCAGGACCCCTGTTCTCCTGGGGCTTAGAGGAGAGAGCAGATCTGCAGGTAAACAGATTAAGCCATAAATACACTTGGTGCTGGTGAGGCACTTCACAGCACAGACAAAAATAACAGTGCAGGGAAGTGGAGAAGGACAGGGTGTTGAGGAGAAGTCACTTAATGACGTCCGATTTGGGCAGGAGGCAGCTGTGTGTGCACGTGTGGTGGTACTTGCTGGCAGAGCACGGTGGGAAGAGGGCTGCCTATCCTGTTGTGGCTTCTCAGAGTCGCTTGCTTGACCATGGGGAACAACATGGAGATTCAGATCCTGGTGCTCCCACTTGCTGGCTCATGACCCTGGCCAAGGTCCTTCACCTCTCCATGCCTGTCTCTCCATCTGTATAATACGGAGTCGTGGTACCTGCCTCACAGTGTGGTTATGAGAGTTGATGAGTCGGTATAGGGGTGCTGTCTTGCCCCACCTGGATCTCATTACTAGGACAGTGCACTTCTCTCCCAGCTGCTGGAGGCAGGGAGATCAAGAGGCCAGCCTCCCTGCCTCTGTGAGACTCACTTCCTGGTGTGATCCCCGCATATAGAACGTGCTCGGAAGAGTTTTACATGGTTAGTATTGCCTTGATTTTTATTCTCATGGATGAAGCTGATGTGTCTGTAAGACCCTTGGGGGCCAGGACTGAGTATATCCAGCAGAATGTCTGGCTGATGGTTAAAAAGTATGATGAATAAATACTCTATGGATAGAAAGACTCAACATGTGAGTTCTTCCCAACTTGATCTACGGTCAACATAATTCCGATCAATATCCCAGCAAGCTCTTCTGTAGGTATTGACAATCTGACAATCCTAAAATTTACATGGAGAGGAAAAACACCCGAAACAGCCAGCGCAAACTGAAGAAGAACAAAGTCAGAGGAGGATGCTGCCTCCCTTTGAGACTTGCTGTCTTCACACAGTGAGACATGGGTGAAATAATAGATAGCCAGATCAAGGGAACAGAGCAGAGAGCCCAGAAATAGACCCACACAAACAGTCAACTGATCTTTGACAGAGAACAAAGGCAATCCAGTGCCAAAAGCGTAGTCTTTTCAGAAGTATGATGAATAGGCCAGTACTTATCTGGGGAGAAGAAAGGAGGAAGTGGTCACAGTGACATAATAGAGGCCACCTGTCCTCGCTGATGGGGGTGGATGCCTGTGGCCCTGTCCTGGGACGGGGCTGGCCTCCGAAGGATACTAGCTTGTGCTGAAGCAGAAGGTGGTGTAGGGATGGTCAGGGTTGCCTGCATCTTCAGAGTGGGCATTGACATTTCATTCTGACCTCCCATGTTTCTTTCTGACTTTGTTGCGTGATTGCATCTCCCCCTCCTTGTCTGGGTGGCTTTTCTTCTCTTCATATCTGATTGTCTTTGTCCATCTTTTACCTTGTTTGGGTGTCTCCGTTTCTGTGTGTTCATCCCTGATTCTGTCCCTGTCTGTGTCCCCCTCTCTCTGTCTCCTTCCTCTTTCAAAAGCTATTTATTGGGTCCCCTGTGTACCAGTTTCTCTGCTAGGGGTGGGGATACAGTGTTCCAGAAAGATGCACCATTTAGGAAAAGAGCTATGAATCCACAATTCACACCTCTAAGCACTTGCCTGTTCAGTGTTACTGAGGAGAGGGACTTGGGGTGTATAACAGCAGGAGGGGGAGGATTTTCTGTGAGTTTGGTGGTGACTGAGCTGAAACTGGAAGGTAGAACTCTTAGCTAAACATGCCAAGAGCATTCCCAGTAGAGCCAGCAGCACATGCTGATGTCCTGTGGATGAGTGAGCAGGATCCATTCGCCAGTGAGGCTGGAGCTTGGGCAGTGAGGATGCGCAGTTGATCCAGGTCCAGATGGGATTGGCGAGGTCAGCGCTGGTCCTTGGTTCTTGGTCCTAACAGCACAGGGATGCCACCAGCAGTCTTGAAGCCCAAGTGTGGCATGGGCATGCCTGTCCTTTGTAAAGACGACTCTGGGGGTAATAGCTTCTGGCTGTTTCAGAAGACCTAGCAGGAGGTACCGGTAGCTTGGATTATGGCATCAGCCCTGGGAATGGATAGAAGTCGACAGATTCAAGAGCATTTTAGAAAGTAGAGTTGAGAAGACGTGGTGATTGCCTGAAGATGGTGTTACAGTATCTGAGCTTTCTTCTTTAGTTACGTATGTATCAAATTTTTATTATAATTTTTGCTGTGAGAGAAAAAGCTTACAGGCCAATTCAGAGATTCCCTCCTGGAGATATTTCATGGGGAAAGAGAATGATTAGAGAATCATTATTGACTGGCTAGGGAAAAAGAGAGTATTTGCTTAAAGTCACTAGACTCTTGACTGGCAGTCAGATGGGTGAGTAAGTAAGTAATTTCTGAGAATAAACTTTAATACTGTTAATGTTCTTAGATAATCTTGCAGAAGGTTGTGAACTTCAAGGCACACAATGTTTCTGTTTTGTTGTTAGTTTTTGAGTAGTGAAGGTAAAAGATTCCTAGATTTCAGGGTTTGATGAATAGTGGGGATACTCTGTACCCCAAGGTTTAGAGACCCTCCCAATAATAGGGCCACCCATAATTGATGTTTTTTTTTTTTAATTGAAGTATAGTCTGCTTAAAGTGTTGTGTTAATTTCTGGTTACAGGATAATGTTTCAGTCATACATATACATACATACACACACACACACACACACACACATATATCTGTTTTCATTATAGGTTACTACAAAATATTAAACATAGTTCCCTGTGCTACACGGAAGAGACTTGCTATTTATCTATTTTATATACAGTAGTTAGTATGCAATGGAATATTACTCAGCCATAAAAATAATAAAATAATGCCATTTGTAGCAACATGGATGGACCTAGAGAATGTCATTCTAAGTGAAGTAAGCCAGAAAGAGAAAGAAAAATACCATATGTTATCACTCACATGTGGAATCTGAAAAAGAAAAAAGACAGAAATGAACTTCTTTACAAAACAGAAACAGACTCACAGACAGAAAATGAACTTACGGTTACCAAGGGGGAGAGGGGGTGGGAAGGAATAAGTTGGGAGTTTGAGATTTGCAGATAAGACATTTAAAAAAACTTTTTAGTTTGAAACAATTTTAGACTCATGCGAGCATTCCAGAAATAGTCCCAAGTTTCTGCGTACCATTCATCCAGCTTCCCCCGGTGATAACATCGTTGATAACCATAGTTACCAAACCCAGGAAATGAACACTGGTAAAATATTATTAAACTACAGGCCTTAATTAGTTTTCACCATTTTTTATGTACAGTTAATTTGTGTTTTTGTTTTGGTGTATAGTTTTATGGAATTTTATCACATGAGTAGATGTGTGTAACCACCACCACACACAGGGTATAGAATGCACACTGTTGATTTTAAAGTCTTTTCACTTTACTTCATGAGTCTAGTTCCCTAAACTGTTTTCAGTCCAGTTAGACCCATGGTAAGAAAGCAGAAAGCTTTTAGTTCATTCTGCCCTCTTCCTTTCCTAATTTAATTCTCTGTCTCTGCCTTCTGTTTTTACGTGTGTATGGCCATGAACCTTTCCTGCTCTTTCAACTCTGACTCTAAAATACCTTTGTTCATTTGTTTACGCTGGGGTCTGTTTGTTTCCTTGATCCCAAGTCGAAGCTGAGGGCTCCTTCCCTACCCTCTCATTTCCAGGAATACCTTCCTGTTTCTCTGTTCAATGCAAGGATAGACATATATGTCCCGGGACTCTTATGGTTGCAAGTGACAGAAACTCATTTCTTACTAACCAAAGCCAAAAAGAGAATTTATTGGGTCACGTAAGAAGGGTGCTCCAGGGCAGAAGTGGCTTCAAGCTCGAATAGACCCAAGGGCTGCCAGCCTGGCAATAGCAGCAGTAGGTGAAATTTTATGAACAGCTCTGTCCACATAAGTCCCCAGAGGATGCTGATGGGTCCAGGTTAGGAAATGTGCTCATCCCTGAACCCATCACTGTGCTGGGTGTGGGATACTGTGGTCATTTCTGAGACCCTCAACCCCTCCTTTAGCTTGTGATGGGAGGTGAGGAGGGCACATGGAATGGGTCCATCCCAGGAGAAGATACTTTTTTGACAGAAGAAAGGATTGATGGTCTTGGCTCTTTGTGACAGTCCATTGTTCCTTGGCCGTCCTATAGCAGGGAGGGAGGGAGTCTCCTTTACATCTGGTGGCCATCCTTTGGGAGAAGGGGTCGCCCTTGGGTCAGGTGGCCACTCTGTGGGGGTAGGGTTCACCCTTAGATCCAGTGGACATCCAGGCCTGATAGTTGTGGGCAGTGGGGGTTCTAGGGAGGATGGGTTTCTCCTTTTCCTGTTATCTGTTGCTGGACAACAACTATCCCAATACTCTGTGGCTTAAAACAACAAGCCTTCCATTTATTTACGCAGAATCCTGGCAGTCGAGCAGGGCTGAGGGGCTGGGTCAGCTTGGCTTCGCTGGGCTGCGTGTGTCCGGGGCGCAGGCACGTGGCTGTGTCCCTGGGGGAACTCCAGCTGCTAATGGGCTCCTGTGTATCTCCTTCCAGTGGACATTATGGAGATAAAGGAAATCCGCCCGGGGAAGAACTCCAAGGATTTCGAGCGTGCGAAGGCAGTCCGCCAGAAGGAAGACTGCTGCTTTTCCATCTTTTACGGCACCCAGTTCGTCCTCAGCACACTCAGCTTAGCAGGTGGGTGCATAATGTGTGCTTTTCTCCCTCCCTGTGTCTCAAGTTCCTTCCTAGAAGGTTCTCTAGTGGGATGCTCACACTTTCTCACCCTCTCTTGTGTGTTTGGGGCCCCGTGGTTTTGAATAGTAACCCTGCTTCTTTCTTGCTCTGTGACTTTTGTACCTACTCAGCCTCTCTGAGCTGCAGTTTGCTCAGCTGTGAAATGGGAATACTGGTAACACTGACCTCACTGGGATATTGAAACCATTATGTTAAGAGCCTGCCCAACTCGTGCCAAGAGCTGAAGTCAGGTTACATTTTCTGTCCAATAGAGTGAATCATGTGAACAATCATGATTGACAAGAGAGAAAATAAACACCATTAAAAGTAGACCAAAGAGAGGGGAACTATGAAAGCTGACTAGCATTAGGGACATTGAATTTAGGGCCATAGGGCTCTCATTGGTTTAATTTCTCATTCATTCTTTCATCAGGCATCTTTTGAGCATATGCTCTGTGCTGGGTTGTGCTAGATGTCAGTGGGGCTATAAAGAGGTCTAAGACCCAACTGCTGCCTTTAAGGAGCTCACAGTCTACTTGAGGAGACAGGCATATGGACCAGAAGTTAGATAAGAGCTGTAGTCAGTACGTATTATAGCATGCTGTAAGAATACAGAGTGCCTAGTTCTAAGGAAGTCTTTGCAGAGGAGGTGACTTTTAAACTGGGTTTTGAGGCATCAGTAGGAGTTGGGAGGAAAGAGGGAGGATGGTCCAGTGGGAGGGCGCTGTGTGCACAAGGGCTTGGAGAGGGGAAACAGCAAGCTGTGGGAAGTGATGGGTGAATGTCTGATAGATGTGTGGCAGGTGGCAGAGAGGGGCCCATGACCATGAACCTTCATAGCTGTGTCCACTTAGCCCCCCGGCAGGCTGTGGCTTGGCTACTGTTCGTGGTAGAGAAGTCATGAGAGCCCAAGCAAAAGGTGGAGCCCAGGATGCCAGCTTGATGTCTGTCCCACTCTGGGGTCCCTCTTCCAGAGTCCTGGAATTCAAGGTCAGGTATAGAGATAGGCAAGACCTGGATTCATATCACAGCTTCTCACTTACTGGCTCTGTAACCCTTCTGAGCCTCAGTTTTCTCCTCATTCGCACAGGAAGAGTGAGATCAGAAACCCTGGCATGCTCTTGTCCCCACTGACAGGGTTCCTGGAGGTTTGGACATGTTTAATAACTGGATCAGGTGTTCGCATTGCCAGCTCCGTTTTACCGATGTGGAAATGAGGCACAGAGTGGTTAAGTAAGCAGCTGAATGTCACACAGCCCTGAAGTGGTGCACTGGGACTTGGTGACGATGCTGAGCTCTTAATGACTTGTTGCCCCTTCCCGCCCAGGCATCAGCATCGCCTCAGTTCCACTCCTTTCTCTGGCCTTGCCTGGAAATGGGAGAAATGCTGAGGGCTGCCCAGGATTCTGGTCCAAGTTATCCCAGGTCCTGCCTCTTGTTCATTAATGTAGGACTAAAGTGAAACCTCTTTTTAAAAAGTTGCCCACTTGTCACTTCTGCAGTAGGCTCACCATGGCCTCATCTTAGACAAAAAGCAAGTCCTAGAGACCAGCACAGGCTCCTCCCACGCCCATGTCTGTGTGGGGCTGGGGAGGCGGGGCTGGGGTCTCTAAGCAGAGGTCTTCAGGGAGTAACACAGCATTTCCACTGGCCTGTCTCTCCAGCTGACTCTAAGGAAGATGCAACTAAGTGGCTCTCTGGCTTGAAGATCTTACACCAGGAAGTGATGAGCGCGTCCACACCCACCATCATTGAGAGGTAATGTTAATCTCTGTATTCACTCACTCAGGCATTCATCCTGCTCCCTTTAGCCAATATGGCAAAAGAAGGAAAAAGGGGCCATTTCATCTTGGAGACTCACTGAGTGTCCTGTATGCAGTAGGTGCCCAGGAGTGGCTGTGGACTCCCCAGTGTCTCACAGAAGAGCCTTTCTCAGTGCTGGGCCTTGGCCTTGGCCTGCTTGGGTGAGGAATGCATTGGAACTGAGACAGAAACTCTCACTGGTGTGTTGGAGAGGGGACCAGAGTCTTGTTTCTTAAAGGATTTAAGAAAGGGTGAGGCTGATGGTTCGAAGGATGTTGGACTTGGGGTCCGGGATTTCCCACCTGCCACTACCTCTTGGCTTCCTGAGGGCCTTCTTGGGACTGTCTCCTCGATGTCATGCATGTCTGAGGGGACTGATGTCGGAATTACTGTCCCTCCAGCAAACCAGAGCCCTCTGATAGCTACCATTTTTCTTACCAGCTTTTGGGGGATTAACAGATACTGTCAGAGAGAAGTGCCAGTTGAAGGAGTGCCAGCCTGAGCTGAAGGGGCCCCGTGGCTCAGCTTGGACATTTCAACTACGAGGAGAAACTGCTCTTCCCAAGATGCCCGAGTTAATTGGGAAAACTTCCTTTTCGTTTCTTGTTTCCATTGTGCTACCCTGTGGAACTCACTTAGACATGTGCTGTTTTCTAACTTTGTTTCTCTGCCTCTCTCTCTCTTTTTTTCCCTTAACTCTCTTCCCAGTTGGCTGAGAAAACAGATTTATTCTGTGGACCAAACCAGGAGAAACAGGTAAGATTCGTTCACATTTTTGTGTTTTTTTTTCCTGCATCATTTTGGATTCCAACGTTCATTCTTTCTTTAAACATTCCAAGGGGACTGGAGTGTGTTTGGTGCTGTGGGAAGGTCCTCATGAAGTCAGATTGGACTTACCAGGTGCCAGACGCTATGCTCGGTGCTGGGGGTCATGGTGACAAAACCTTCACCCACGGTGGGTGGTCACATCGCAGTGGAAAATTCCAACCCATCTGCAGAGATGACTTCTCTGCCATGGAGCATTTGGACTACATCTTTGAGGCCTTCACATTTGAGCTCCTGTGTTCTGGGGAGAAACGGGATCCCCTTGGCGCCTGCCCTTACTTCGTGGTGGGAGAGAGATTGAGTCTAAAGAAGTAATCCAAGTTAAACAGAGATGTTTGTAAGGACTGGGCAGACGTGAGACAGGCGATGTGATAATGTCTAATTCAGTGTCCTCGACAGTTCATCTTGGAGTGGTTCCCTTTCGGCACACACAGCGCTCTGTGCCAGACATTTCTGTAACAAACACAGTTTATCCTTGGATGGGTGCAGGGTGATTTGCTTATTGATGCAAAATCATTTCTTTCTTGATAGACATAAAGCTGCTCCTGGTCCTTTATTATCATGGAGAATAATGCTGCTATGAAAACCTTCGGGTCTCCCTTTTTGTAAACATGTGTAATGAGGATATGAGCCAGATGAATTCCTAGAAGAGAAATACTGGCAGCCAAGCATCGTCTGGTCTAAAATATTTTGAGAGAGGTAGTAGCAATTTCCATTTCTACCAGTGGTGCATGAGAGCACTCATTTCCTTGTATCACTGGACTTTGACCTTTATTAACCTGATGGGTGAAAGGCAGCAGTGGATTTTTGCTTACATTTTCATTTCTTTATTTATGGAGAGGCTAAACATTCTCTCATCGATTTTTTAAAATTTGTTATTGTTTATTTTTAGTTGCTTATTTTTAATTATATTGATTGAACCCAGGACCTCATGCATGCTAAGCACACACTCTACCACTGAGCTATACCCTCCCCCCCTATTTTTAGGTTATGATCCAGTTCTTGCTAATAATGTAACAATAAAAACCACCATTTATCAAGCACTCAGCATGCCAGGCACTGTGCTATACACTTGACAATCACTATATCATTTTAGCCTCCTATCAGACTTCTTTTAAAATTTTGAAATGTCTTTTCTTCCTTCCACTCTCTGTTAAGAGGGGTCAGCATCATATGTGAGGCAACAGGTTGCCTCTGCAACTCTTCCCTCTTGTTCCTGAAAGTCTTTCCATCTCTAAGAAGTTTGGTGTCACGCCACTGTCCCCCATCACTTGTTGTTTTCAGAGCCTCTGTGGTCCCTTCCATACACGCCCCATGGGATGATCTGCACACGGTAACCATGGAGTGGTGAAAGTTCAGTAATACTGTGAGGTTGGCCAGCAGCTTTGTGCGTGAGCTGTCCGTCTGCTCTCCCTCCCTCCTCCTCCTCGCAGCCAGCATTCACTGTGTCCCGCACCCTGGGCTTTGCCCCCATGCTCTGGAGATAGATCCAGCGAGGTCCTATAGTTGGAGGATTTTGTACACACTGGTCTCTTTCACCCTCAGAGGTGGAGCCCTTATAACTGTTTCCTTTCTCCGTGGCTTTGGGGTGATTCACAGCTGAGGTTGGCCCAGGGATGACAGAGGGAGCCCCCGGGCCCTCTCTCCACGCGGTAGGGCTGGGGTTGTTGATTTGGTTCCGAAGTCTGCTTCTCCATCTTCTGTTGTTAAGAAACGGAAGCCTCCTCCTGGCTCAGAATGGATTCTTGCACGCCTTCCATAAAGAAGTCCTTTTCAGAACCTTCAGTAGAGAGCAAGTCTGGCTCTGGCCTGGATTCCTAGTTCCTTGCCCACCCTTCTGCCCCTGACCTCCCTCCCAGTGGGCAGAGCTCTGCTGCTCTGTCAACACATGGAAGATCCCACCTTTCCTGTGGTTCTGTGAGGTCCGGAGGGAGTTTTCCAGAGAAACTTTGACCAAGGTGCCAATGAAAGGGCCATTGACTTCTGTTCTGCCAGTTCCCCTCTTTTCCTGTTGCCCACATGAATTGCGTTTCCTGAAGGAAAACAAAGGAGCCGCAGCAGCAAAGGAAAGGCTCTGGGGACAGGAGGCAGGCTGTGGGCTGGCCTGGCTCGGGCAGTCTCTGCTCCCGGGGTTTTCCTGGCCTGAGTGCGTGTTTCATCTTTTAGCCTCTTGAGAGGCAAAACGGCAGCAGATGGCACTGGTCGGGAATTTGCTTTGCAGCAGCCGCTGTTCTGAGGGCTTTCTGTGCTTGTGGAATTGGGAGAAGCTTACGGAAAGGATGCTCTCAGACTGGCGAGCTTGGCACCCTCTGGTCCATTTTCTGGGGACACTGAGGCCAAGAGAGGTTAGATCACTTGTTCACGGCAGCCCAGCTGGGCAGCTGTGGCTCATTCGTCACTACTTGATGCTGCCTTTTTTTTTTTTTTTGTAATGTGCTCTTGGAAGCTGTTAAAAGGCCGAAATTTTCCCTTCCCCACCCTGACCTGTGACCTAAAACTCTTTATTTAATTTGTTTCATTATGCTTAGATAGACATAACATCAAACTTACCATTTGAAGTGTACACTGTTGTTTTTTTAATTGAAGTATAGTCAGTTTACAATGTTGTATTCATGTCTTGTGTACAGCATAGTGACTCAGTTATACATATATATCTTCCTTTTCATATTCATTTCATGATAGGCTATTACAAGGTATTGAATGTAGTCCCCTGTGCTATACAGTAGGACTTTATGTATCTGTTTTATATATAGTAGTTAGTATCTGCTAATCTCGAACTCCCAGTTGATCCCTCCCCACCCCCACTCCCCACCCCCACCCCCGGTAACCATGTTTGTTTTCTATGTCTGTGAGTCTGTCTCTGTTTTGTAAGTTCATTTGTGTCCTTTTAAGTGTGCACGTCTGTGAAATTAAGTGCCTTCTTGTTGTTGTACTGTTGTCACCGTCCATCTCCAGGACTCTTCTCATCTAGCAAAACTGAAACTCTGTACCCATTAAACTCTGAGTCCCATTTCCCGCTCCTCCCAGCCACTGGTAACCTCTCTTCTACTTTCTGTCTGTATGACTACTCTGGATGCTGCATATGAGTGGAATGGTGCCATATTTGTCTTTTTATGACTGGCTTATTTCACTTAGCATAATGTCTTCAAGGTTCATCCATGTCACTGTAGCATGCATCAGAATTTCCTTTCTTTTTTTTTTTTTTAAGTTTTCTTTTGGGGAGGGATTAGGTTTATTTATTTACTTATTTATTTTTAGAGGAGGTACTGAGATTGAACCCAGGACCTCATGCATGTTAAGCATGTGCTCTACCCTCCCCCCAGAAGTTCCTTTCTCTTTAAGACCAAATAATATTCCATGTGTCCCTATACCACATCGTGTCTATCCATCCATCAGGGGACACTTGCTCCAAGTGCTTCCATCTTTCGGCTGTTCTAAGTATTGTTTCTGTGAACGTGGGTTTCGAGTCCCTGCTTTCACTTCCTTTGTGCCTTACTCAGGAATGGAATTGCCGGATGAGATGGTAATACTGTTTAATTTTTTAATGAACTGCCTACTGTTTTCCACAACAGTTGCAACTATTTTATATTCCCACCAAGCAGTGCAACAAGGATTCCATTTTTCACCACCTTCTTGCCAACACTTCTTCCTTCCTTCCTTCCTCCCTCCCTCCCTTCCTTCCTGCCATCCCAGTGGGTGGTAAGTAGTATCTCATTTTGGTTTTGATCCGTGTTTTCCTAATGCCTCCTGATGCGGAGCATCTTTTCATGTACTTTTTCCTGTTTGTATATCTTCTTTGGAGAAATGTTTATGTCCTTTGCCCGTTTAAAAATTTCATCTTGTGATTTTAGTTCTTATATCTCCTTCCAAGTACTGACCCTGGGCTAGGTGTTTCACAACATTTTATTGTTTATTTTTCCACTGTTATTTACTGCTACCTTTTTTTTTAAATTATAAAAGTAACTCATGTTCATTATAGAAAACTTTGGAAATACTGAAAACCAGACAAAATTTATATGAATTTGACATTAAATGGTCAGCACCATTAACTCTGGCTACAGTGTTTTTGGGTAGATTTTCATCCTCAGTGTTGTTCTTCATTTTACTTTATCAAAATCTTACCATACATATGATCTTATATCCTGTTCTTTAAATAATTTTAAAATTTTGGAATAATTTAGAGAAAGGTTGCCAACAAAGCACAGAGTTCCCATCTGCCTCTTTGCCAGTTTTCCCTAAGGTTCGCACCATTCATGACCATGGTATATTTGTTAAAATTTAGAAACCACCTTTACTTCATGACTGTTGAGTAAACCCTAGATTTTATTGGGTGTTCACCTTTTTTTCCCGCCAGCATCCTTCCCCTGGTCTGGGATCGAACCCAGGACCCCACATTGCACTTCATTGTTCTGTCCCTTTGGTCTCCTCTGGGCTGTGACAGTTTCTCCTCTTCCCTTGTCTTTCATGACATTGATATGTCTCAGGTATTCTGTAGACTGTCCCTCCAGTTGTGTTGGTCTGATATTTTTGTCATGATTAGACTGGAGTTGAGGGTAGCCTGAAGTGGTAGGTGTTTGGGAAGAATGTCACGGAGGTGATGTCTTTTCCTTCACCTCATGTCCAGGGGCGCCTGCTCTCAGCGTGGCTTGTCAGTGGAGATGTAAGCCTTGACCACCTGGCCAAGGTGCTGTCTTCCAGATTTTTCCTTTGTAAGGCCCCCCCATCTGCCTCTGCTCTATTATTTGGAAATAAATCACTGAGTCCAGCCCACATGAAAGGGGGACAGACTATTTCCACTGGCGTTAAACTGTTAGACTCTTACATTTTGTTGCAGTGCTTCAGGAAGAGTAATGCCTGCATTACATTCAGCCAATGGGATTTGCCATTTGGCTTGAAAAGTTGCCTTTTGTTTGTCATTTCGTTTGTGTCCAGTTTTTCCTTACGTTCACAGTTTCACTGAATTATTCAAAGTGAATGGAAGAAGTGACCCTCTTGAGAAGCATTTTTGGGGCGATTTTGTAGGATTTTCGACTTCGAGCCAGGACGTTGAGTCCCTGTTGGCAGATGGCCTCTGCTTTCTTTGAGTCTTGGCCTTGTTGCTGTTCATGTTGTTGGGGGCTCCTTGAGGTCAGGGATCTGGCTGGTTCAGTCTTACTTGTGTTTGTCAGATGAATGAAAGTCCTCCCTCTTTATTCCTAGATGTAATGTCGGGCAAACAGAACGTTCTGTGTTGGAAACTTTCCTTTTGACATTGCCAGGCCTGGAGAGACTGGGTCAAAAGCATGAATGTTTAACGTTAATCTTGGGCAGATTTCCAGAACCCCCTCCCCCTTTTTGAATCTTTAGCATTTAGTTGCCTCTTTATCTGGGAATTAGTTTCCAAGGTCGGTGCATTAGTTGAAAACTACAGTCAAAATACCCCTTGAGAAAGCCCCTTAACCTTCCATGAGGATCCCTGGAATTGCATCCCTCAGGGCGAGTCCTGCAGAGGGGGCGGCAGCGCTAAGGGCTGGGAGCAGATGTCTCTGTGGCCATTTCTTTCCCACCTTGCCCTTTGCCCCAGGTGCATAACCTTGAATTTGCATAAGATGAATGTGCACCTCCTGTTCTTTAGAAGGTGGAAGGGAACGGGTTTTTGGGTGGGAGGCAGGTGTGTGGTCCTGTTCTCTCTTCAACAGGATTGCAAATAGGGGTTCCATGCTGTTCAGGGCTAGGAGTCCTGGCTCCAGCCCACGGGGCCATCTAGGGGGCTTTAGCCACCAAAGTGCACAGCCTGTCCTGCAGAAATTCTGCTCCACTTGGTCTGGGAGGGGAAGCACGAGTTTGCATTTCTGACAGATTCCCAGCTAATGCTGATAATCTGGGCCCCGGGACCTTACTTGGAGAAGGAAGCTTCTAGAGCTATACTGTCCACATGTGACTATTTAATAAATCTAAATTAATTAAAATTAAGTAAAAATTAAAAATTCAGTCCCTTGGTCGCCCTAGCCACATTTCAGATTCTCGGTAGTGGCTACCGCATTAGCCAGCCCCGATCTAGAACATTTCCATCATGGTAGAAAATTGTGTTGGGCAGCGCTGAGGGTTGAATCTCAGCCCTGACACTTGTTGGTTGTGTGAGTTTGGGTAAGCTACTTAATTTCTCTTTGTCTTAGCTTCCTAATCTGTAAAAGAGATCGTATTTCCTACCTCCTAGGGTTGGTGTGAGTGTTCAGTGGATTCGTATGTGAGCAGTGCTTGGGTGGTGCCTACGTATTTGTGGTCAACACTAAAAATGTTTGTTATTGGTAGAAGAAGCTGGGGGTGGTGGAGGTGTTGGTTACCAGCCTTGGGGTGGCAGGTCAGTTTCCTCTGTTATTTGGTAAAGGCCACCCCGGGGTGCAGTGTTGTAGAATCTGGGACTGTGCCAGGCTGAGGAGGGAAGGTACCATGAGTGTTTAGTGTCCATGGTGGGGGGGGGGTCGTTTTTGTCATTGGTTCCCAAAGGGATTGCTCTGGTTCCTAACCCGCTGTCACCGATTGATACTGTGGAAACATAATCTGAGATGTGGGTTTGTGTGTAGGAAGCTTACTGGGGAGCAGGCAGCGGATCAACACCTGTGGAAGTGAAGGCAGCGGAAAGAGCTGGGCCTCGATGCAGTGGCAATCGTGGCCTCACCTGACCCCACTAGGAGCTGCAGGGACAGCCCTGCAGAGCTGTCCTGAATTGAGGCCAGAGGGCTGGGTGTGACCTCGGCTGAAGCACTCCCTTTATCTGATGACAAGTCCTGGACAGGGAGAGGGTGAAGTTAGAGCTGCTGGCTTCCTACCCCCCAGCAGCTGGGGAGTCTGTGTGCCAGTCCTGGCTCAGGGTCACCTGCTGCGCAGGTTCAGATGCCCGGAGTGGGGAGTGGGGGAGAGGCGCAGGCGGGGGGGTAGAGTGATGGGGTCCGTGCACTGGAGCCCAAAGATACTCTCTGGTCCCTACCTTTACCTGGGGGCTCATTTGCTCTGCTGTAAGGTGGGACTTTGGAAGCAGGTGGGCTCGGATGTCCCAGTGCTCATTACGCCCCGGGCCCTGTGTTTGCTCCACCAGCCCCAGGCAGCCGTACTGGCTCCCAGCTCCCCAGTCTCTTTGTTCCTGGGTGTGGGATGGTTCTTGGTCCTGTTTCTTCCTGAAAGTTCTGGCTTCCCGAGGAGAGTCTGATGTCTCTCCTGGTCGTGGGTGAGCCCCTCTGCCACCAGCTTGGCCAAACCCTCTTGCTGCCTCTTTTTGCAGCGCCAGCCCAGCCACTCTTCTTCCTTCATCCCAGACACCCCAGGGCTGGGTCAGGAAGGGGTCTCAGCCAGCCCTCAGTGTCTCTCTGGGAAAGCCCAGGGTGCCCGCCCTGGAGTGGTGGGCGGTGGGGGATCATCTGACACATAAAGGTCTCTGATATTAGGGAACCCGTTAGATTGGAGACAAGAATGCTGGAGGTGGGGACACTGGCGGCCAGGAGTCCACTTGGTCGTCTCCAAGGGTAGCTGCTGAGTGTGACATGCTGCTTCCTTCTGGCTGTGCTGGCAGAGGCCGAGTAGTTGGTGTGGGGGAAGCTGGGCCATTTGCTGCCCACAGCCCAGGCAGACTTCCTTCCTGGCCTGCACAGCCCCAGTCTGATGTGATATCTCCAAGAACACAGAACGGTTTTCTCTGACCGCACCAAAGCCCCCCCCCACCCCCAGACCACCCGGTGTCGCTTTTCTGGGCACTTGGCCCTGCAGCCTCAAGGATCTGGATCACGGGAGTCTGCCTTCATTATGCACTCGCAGCGAGCCTTTCTGAGCCTCAGTTTCTTCACCTGGAACATGGGGGTGATAGTGGCACCCACCTCATAGCATCGTTAGAACAGCTCTGGCCTTGAGCAGCGTACTCTGCCTCCCACCCCATTGCCTGTTCTGAATCCTGAGGGTGGACAATGCATACGGTGTCAGGGGTTCAGGATAGTGAGGAGCTTGGTAACATTATTACCTGGAGATACACAGGACAGCCTGGCATATAATAGTGTTCAAATAAGGTTGGCTCCTTTCCCTCTCCATCTCTGGCCTTCAGTGACGTGCCCTTGGTTTGAACCTCTGTGACAGTTCATATCTGCAAAGGTCATCTGTTGCTGTTTCTGCCTGTGCTGTAACTCTCCTCTATGACCTGTGTCCACAGCCATCCCTGAAGGGTGGAGACCAGCCTTGCACCCCGGGTGTCACCCCCAACGTTGGACCTGGGGTCTCAGTTCCCAGTTAATGCTCACTGACAGCTTTTGGCGGGTCTTCTGATAGAGGTGGGAGTCGCCCACCTTCTTCTCTTGAAAGGCTTCCAGGCTGACAGAGCTGGGGTTCCCCTCTTTTTTCAGCATCAGCCTCCGAGAGTTGAAGGCCATCTTGCCCCTGGTCAACTTCAAAGTGAGCAGCGCTAAGTTCCTCAAAGATAAATTTGTGGTAAGTTTCATAGCTCAGCCTGGCGATCTTGTGATCCCTGGGCTACTGGTGCCTCTCACGGGAAAGCTACCACGTGCCTTTGAGCTCCGATGAATGTTGCCCAAGAAAGTCCTTCGCCTCCAGATTCATCCATCTTAGTCCAGACAGAGAGATGGCGCATGAAGATCTCAGGACCCCGTTCTCAATCCTAGCAGAGAACACCATCCACCAAGACTGCGTTTACTGCGCTCCTTGACTTGGAGCCTTTCTGCCAGTCCGCCTTTCCTTTTCCCTCGCCATCCACAGCCTGTTCCCCTTTTACCAATATGAACAAATGTGTTTCTTTTGGAAAACATTATGTAAGATTCCTTACGTGGGTTGCCAGGGATGTAGCATTTTTTATGAGAGTCCTGATAATGTAGTTGTCGGAGTTGCTCTTCTCTGCCCTTCCTCCCCCTCCCACCCATCCCTCCCTCCCTCCACCCTCCCATCCTCCCTCCAACCCACCCTCCCATCCCTCCATCCCTCCTGCCACCTATCGTTTCGTTTGTTTATGATCTTGTGTAACTAAACTGTTGGTAGATCTGGGGCAGGTAAAGTCACTGCATGATTGATGGGGTAGGTTGATCAGGTGGGGCTCTTCTGAGCAGTGTGAGGCTACAGATGATCCGTGAGTAGCGTTTCTGGTCCTCAGAGAGAAACTGGCCCTCATCAGGGAGCCCAAAAACACTATCCCAGTAGTCCCAGTTGGAGGACTCGCATGGCCATGCCAGTGGCAGCCCTAGTCACAGGATTCCTCTGCTGAAAGAGCTCATTCATTTTGGTACCAGTGAGCTCCTAGAAGAATTAACCCTCTTTATTGCTCCTCAAGCTGTCTTTTGACCTGCCCTCATCATTCCAACTGACCCAAGAAGGCAAAACCAGAGAAGGGTGGAGATTGACAGAAGGAAAGAGAGATGGGAGAAGCGGTTACTGTTGACCACCACGTAACTGGAGTTTTGTTCTTTATCCAGCCTTTACTAGGCAGGAGCTATGAAGATGTAATCTGATGCAGTTTCAGGGAAGTCCGAGGAGGGTAGGGGTGGTTCTCTCATTTTATAGATGAAGAAACTAAGGGTCTACATGGGTCAAGTGAATTGCCCAAAGCCATTAAGCACAGGGGACAAGTCTTGACTGGAGTTGAGCTCTGTAACTCCAAAGGCTTGGTTCATTTTCTTATGCTTTAAAAAATGACCTATATGTACATATCCTACGTGTCTAGATTTGAAAGTGTCTTTTGCCCCCAATAGGAGGACTTCTGCAATATGACCCTTGGAATTCTGGCCGAGACTCTTCCCTTTTTCAGAGTCACGGGAAAGCTCTTACCTGGGGTCCCTTGTGGGTATGTTTTCCAGGCAGATAAATCAGGAAACTTGTAGACAGCTGGGTTCAGAAGAATGCAAGTTTGATTTCAGCCAGTGTTGTAGAAAGGCCCTGCTATTTCTGTGAACAGGGAGGAGGCATTCTTGTGGTGGACACCAAAAATTGTGTGGTCACTTCTTTTTTTTATATTTACAGGAAATAGGCGCGCACAAGGATGAACTCAGCTTTGAACAGTTCCATCTCTTCTATAAGAAACTTATGTTTGAACAGCAAAAATCGGTAAGATGATTCTTTTTTTCCATTTATTTTTGAAGGTTTTGATAGTCTTGCCTTATTAAATGTTTAAAACTGAAGTATAGTTGATGCACAATATTATATGTTATAAGTGTGCAGTATAGTGATTCACAATTTTTAAAGGTTATACTCCATTCATAATTATTACAGGATCCTTGCTGTATTCCCTGTGTTGTACAATATATCCTGGTAGCTTATTTTATACATGATAGTTCCTCGTAATCCCCTATTCCTATATGGCCCCTCTTGCCTTTCCTTTCCGCACTGGTAACCACAATTTGTTCTCTGTATCTGTGATTCTGTCTCTCTTTTTGGTTATATCACTAGTTTGTTGTATTTTTTAGATTCCATGGATAAGTGATGGCATACAGTATTTGTCTTTCTCAGTCTGACTTACTTCACTTGGCATAATATCTCCCAGGTCCATCCATGTGGTTGCAAATGGCAATATTTTATTCTTTTTATGACTGAGCAATAGTCCATTGGATATATACACCTCAACTTCTTTATCCATTCACCTGTTGATGGACACTTAGATTGCTTCCATATCTTGACGTTTGTAAATAATGTAGCTATGAACTTTGGAGTGCTTGTATTCTTTGGAATTAATGTTTTTGTTTCTTTCAGATAATGTATCCAGCAGTGGAATTGCTGGGTCATATGGTAGTTTCAGTATTTTTGAGAAACCTCTGTACTGTTTTCCACTGGGGCTGCATTGATTTATATTCCTACCAATAGTGTGCGAGGGTTCTCTTTTCTCCACATCATCACCAGCATTTGTTATTTGCGTTCTTTTTAATGACAGCCATTCTGACAGATGTAGATAATCTCACTGTGAAGATTAGCAAAGTTGAGCATCTTTTCTTGTGCGTATAGGCCATCAGCATGGATAAGAGGATTCTTGAACTAATGATTGAATGGTGTTTTTATGTCCCCTGTGTTTCATAGTCTAGCATGTTCCTAAGAGACCTGTGAGAAGTGTTCCATCTCCCTTCTAGTCAAGGAAATATAAAGTGGGAGTGACAGTGTCGTAGATTTTCACCTATTAGATTGGCCAAGGTTTTAAATGTGTTTGAGCTAAAGGCACAAAGTGGGGAAATGGTGCTTTCACTCCCTCTTGGGACTGCGAGTAGCCCCGAAGTCTGATTGGAATTTAACCTGAGCCTATTAAAGTAAAAAAGTTCAACTAACTCTACTGTATCATCTCATTCTGGAAGGAAATTGATCAAATTCTTAATAGTAACCATCTCTGGGTTGAGGGATTATGTGTGTGTGTTTTTCCTTTTTATGCTTTTATTCTTTTTTGTTTGTTTTTCTTAGGGGGAGGTAATTAAGTTTACTTATTTATTTATTTTTTGAGGAGGTACTGGGGATTGAACCTAGGACCTTGTGTATGCTAAGCATGCATGTTCTCTACCACTTGAGCTATACCTTCCCCACCCTCCCTGCTTTTATTCATTTTTTAAATGTTTAATATTTTTTGATTAAGATGATGTGCTATTTTAAAATTAAATTAAGATGTGTATATATTTTGACCTGTGAGTGGCATTTTGGGGTCTCTGTTTTAGAGAAATGAAAGCCCTGAGACCTAAGAATATATTACCAGATTGTTTATTGTAGCATCACTTCTGCTGGCAAAATACCTGAGAGCCATCTGAATGCCTCTCCATAGAGCAATAGCTGGGTAAATTATGGTCCATCCGTGCTACACAACACCGTGCAACTGATGAAGAAGCCTGAGTCAGTTGTGTTGCTGTTGGTCTGGAGGGGTACTCATGATATTTTGTGAGGAAAGCCAGCAGCCGATTCATGTGAGGCGCTAGGTTTGATTTTTTTTTTTTTTATTGGTAACACACAGTAATCTTCCTATATATGTGTTTGTGTGTGTTTTTTAGAACCAGGAGAAGGTATGAAAGAGTACACCCCTCACGTTTAAGGTTGATACTGTGTGTGTCCTGGAGAGATTTGGGAAGGCACACGAGAAAGAATTAAAATTTTCTTTGCACACTTCAATTTTCTTCCACTTATTCCAGTTAGCACAGAACTTTTGCAAAAAAAAAAGTTCAATAAAGCATAAAGCTTAAAACACGAGGCGTTCGGTGCAGGGCATGGAGCATATGCTTGGTGGGTGGCGTGCACCCCACCAACAGGACCATTGTTAGTGTTGGAGAGAGTTCTGCAGGTGGCCGAGGTGGGTCTGGAGCAGAGCTCCGAGGGAGCAGAGAATGCGTGGAACTTGGAGCCAAATGGATATGCTTTCTCCAACCAGCTGTGTGATCTTGGGCCAGCCATTGACCACTCCCAGCCTCAGTCTTCTCATCTGTGCAATGGGGATGATTCCTGACCCCTTGAGCTCTGGGGAGGACTGAATGAAGGACTGGGAGTCGACATTTGAATGCAGACATTTTCAAGTGGTGAGTGGGAAAGACAGTTATCAGTTGCCTTCTGCATACAGGCCTGCAGGCTGTCCACAGGCTGAGGCCTCTTCATAGGTGACCACTGGCAGTGGGATTTAGGATGTATCTGAGGAAGGGAGATAGGAGAACACAAGAAATTTGTCTACATAGACTGGGGAAAAATACATTATTATATAGAACAAAAAATTCAATTGCAGTGTGTTCACTTTTTCACACATGTAATAATTAGTTCTTGGTTGGCCAAATGGAGTAGAAAGATTGTAGGCTTTGAGAGTTGAAAGACCTAGATTCCAGCCCCAGCTTGACCTCTGACTGACCAAGTGATTTTTGGGGAAAGCCATCTTTTCCCTCCTCACTCAGCCTCCTCTATATAAAATGAAGGTATTAAACCAAGACACTGGTTATATGACTTTTTAAATGATACAATTCCTCCCCCCTTTTTTATCTGAAACCTTAATTGAAAAAAACCCACGGCTGTGTAGAAGCTGATTAAAACACTTTTTAGGTTAAAATCTGTCACTTTCATTTATAGTCGGTTCTTGAGAACAGTGAAAATGTTGTGAAGACAGTGAAATCCAGGATGACAGTTGCTGTTTTATGCAATTGACCAGGATTGAGGAAAGCTTGATTCACTCAAGATAAGTAGTTGCAAATAACATTTTTTATAATCGTTTGCCTTGAAATTTCAGGTTGCTGTCTCACTAGACAGAGGGCAGGCAGAGCTTGAGAATAAGGTTTGCACAGACGCTGTTGCACCTGCCGGCACAGATTACCCACTGATGGTCTCCATCCAGCATGACAAAATTCCACCTGAGAGCATTTTTCATTACGGTTCTTTTTATGGCTAATGTATGTGTGTTTGAGAGGGCGAAGGGAGAGAAAGAAATTTGAGTCCAATTTCTGCAGAATCCTTGAGTCCTCTGGGAGTGCCCTAGATCACCCAGTTTTGAGGGGAAAACATCTGTACCAGAGGTTACCCCTGGTGGCCAGCACACCACATTCAGTTGTATTTGGTCTCGTGGTTTAAATTTTTTTTTTAAAATGAATTGCATACATTTAAAACTAGGGCGATTTCATTTTAAGATCCATAGTTTTTGCTTCTCTAGGAAAAAAAAAAAATCGAGATCCGGCTTATATGGGTCCTGAGATCTGGCTATAGGTGGCGACCTCTGAGTGGCAGGAAAGCCTGCATCCTCTGGTTTGTCCAGCCCCCTCTCCCATCCCCACCCAGCTCTCTACTAATTTATGTTGCCTACTGCCTCCTAAGACTTCTTGGGTCGACAGCCTCTGATCTCCACCACTGGAGAGTCTGACTGTCCCTGGCCTTTGCATATTTTAATTCCCTGACTTGGAATCTGGGCTTGGTAGTTACTGGCCAGCCTGAGATGCCTCCCTGCCCTTGTGTAGGTAAATGCTCCTTCCCTAACTGTCAGTATGTCATTTACTTCCTGAGCTGCTCCCTGGAAGCTTAGGGCAGAGTAAAGCATTAGTTGTGTGCTCTTAGGGACTCAACTGGCTTTCTTGGGCTCCTTGGGGAGACAGGGCTGTTCATGGTGATTGATGACCCCCGGAACTAAATCCTGCTTATCAGTGGCTATAGGTTTCCAACTTGAGGTTACCAGTTCCTCCTTGTGTCTAACCACCTGCTTCCATTGCTGCTCTGTTCTCATGCCTCAGAGCTTTCAAAAGTTTGGCAGCAGCAGGAAGGTAAGAAATTTAATTCCATGTGTGCTCCCCTGGGGAGAGGATGTATCTCTAACTAGGCTGTAATAACAGTATTATGATTAAAGTTCACAGCTAACAATTCCTGAGTGGGACCACTGTGCTGGGTGCTGTGCTAAGTGTCTCACAGACATTTAGTTCTCCTCATAACCCCGTGAGAGGTACTGTTATTACCCTCACTTTATGAATGTGGAAATTGGCACTCAGAGAGGTTACTTGCTGGGCATTCAGATGGCACCCTGCAGAGCTAGGATTCGAGTTCTCCTTTGCTCAGCTTCACTGCCCAGCCACTGATACTTCTTTTTAGTTTTTTAAACTTCAGTATTAAGGGAAATTTCAAACACAGATAAGCAGATAATAGTTTAACAGCCCCCCATGTACCCATCTGCCAGCTGCAGCAATGCTCACCTCATCTTATTTCATCTATGCCTTTACACACTTCCCTATTCTCAGAGGATTTTGAAGCAAACCTAATACATTGTGCTATTTCTGCCTTAAATATTTTAACCTGATACCCAGCTTAATAACTGCTACTTTGCTGCGAAGTCCCCCTTGGTTAGTGGAGGCTGAGGGTCGGGCATTACAGGTCCTGACTTTCAGTGAGGATGGCTGACTGAGTTCAGTCTTGCTCTCGGTCCAGGACTGCAGTTCCACCCCCGTGGGATGAGGTGGTTGGGTTACCGTTTATTCACCTCTCTGTCCTTGCCCCTGCCATTTCATGTGACCTGTGCTGGGTGCCCGACAGCAGGCTGCTTTGGAAATGTGTCAGGGTTCTGCATTGCTTATGTACTGCTTATATATTACGTATTTTAGTTCTGTGTTACTGTCATGTTATGTACAGAAGAGCATTACCACGATGCACATTTGCTCCCTTAGTTTCTGGGATTCATGTGTCCAGGTTCACCTTAGCTGGATTCTCTGCTTCAGGGTCTTATAAGGCTACATTTAAGATTTCAGCTGGGGCTGTGGTCTCATCTGAAACCCAGATGTGAAAAGATCTGCTTCCAAGCCCTTGTGGTCGTGGCAGCGTTCAGTTCCTCGCAGTTGTAGGACTGAGGCTCCAGCTTCTGGCTGGCTGCCTGCAGCTCTTCGACATACGGGACTCCCTACAGGGCTGTTTGCTTCCTCAAAGCCAGCAAGACAAGTTCTCCTAGCATATATAACATCATCATGTAACCACGTACACATAATTGTGTGCACCCATGACCTCTGCAAGTTGCAGGGATCAGGCAAGTATCCCCCTCGAGTCTGCATGTAGGGGTTTTCCGTTGCTTGTTTGCCTGTTAAAGTGGAAGAGAGCACTGCTGTAATTTTTTTTTAAGGTGGCACTACTTTTCCTTTAGTATTACTTTTAGCTGGAAGCAATAGCACAGTTCCTGACCCTCCTGGGGGTGACATTACCCATCCTGGATGCTTACTGCACAGATTATAAAAGCTTGTAGATGTCAGTCACCCAGCAGAGTGTTGGGCATACAGTTGGCCCTCAGAACATGGTATTTACCATTATTGTCAGTGTGTCTTTATGAGGCAGAATCCCCCTGGGGGGAGGTGAGGGCTGTCAGTCTCTGGTTCTCCTGTTCTGTCCTGTTTCAAAAAGACCATCTTGGTTACAGTCAGTGGGTTTTGCAGAGCATCCTTTGCTATCTCACTGTGCTGAAGCCGACCAGGCAGCCCTTGACAGGAAATTTTTTTTCTGATGTCTGAGTACATTTTATGACAGGCAAAGGAGTGCATATTCATGACATAAAAGTAGAAGGGGCACAGAAATAAAAGGAAATGAACATGCCCGCAGACCTACCTGTGATTGTACATTCAGCAAGAAGTACAATGTTTGTTCTTTCAGACTTTACACAGGTGTGAGCATGTGGGAAGTGAGTGACAGTCTGTCACATGTTGGTGGAGGATTCCAGGGAATACAGATTATTCTGATTGGTGGTTTGGAAAAGCAGGCATCCACAGTGCAGACATTAGTGGTGAATCTGGTGAGCTCTCCCCTCAGTGTAGTTTTCCCCTGGGCCGCCTCACAAGATCAGCAAAGCGCAGCGAGCCTGTAGGACCAGTTATAGCCCCACAGGGTGCGCTTACCCTTGACCACGTGGGAAAACTCAGTTCCCCATCCTCAGGTGGACCTTGGGACCTCTAGGCCATCATGTCTGCGGTCCCTGCCCTTTAGTGTGGCTCCTTTCCTCGTCCAGGTGATAACTACCTCTTCTCCTGGAGACCAGAAGTCATGGGTTACCTTTCCCTATAGCCTTTTAATTTAACTTAATTAAATTTTAATTTCCCTGTAGCCTTTTAATTTTCTCCAGAGAAATTAATTTATCCATTATTTTAGTCATCCAGTCAATAAATGTTTGACCCAAGAGGGCACAGTGGTCAAGGAAACACACGTCACCCTGGCCTCACTGAGCCTTTGCTGGATCCAGCGATCAAAGATGTTGCTGGGTCCCAGAGGGCCAGATGCCCCAGCTTGGTAGAATATGACCATGTAACCCTGCATGGTAGTGCTAACATAAATGAACTGCTGCCTCCCCTGTGTGCCCGTAGCTCTCATTGCTAGGATGTTGTCGTTTATCTTACAGGCTTTTGCACGTACGATGTGGGGCAGTCAGTATTTACCAGGGTGGACCTGGGTTGAAACTCTGGTCCCTTGACTTTCTTGGTATGCAATCTTGGGACAGCTGTGTGTGCTCCCTGAGCCTGTTCCTTGTTTCTGAAACGGGGTTTATTTCACCGCCTTCCTGAGAGGATTGGCATGAGGAGGAACTGAGCTCCTGGCTGCCCAACATCAGCCACAAACATGCCCCGTCAGGTTCCCAGGGCGGCCCTGGCAAAAGACCCGACTCTGAGTGGCTTAAAAGAACAGTCTTTCTAGAAGAGGGACTCTTAACCTTTTTGGGTGACCAGTTTCTTTGAGGTGCCGATTAAAGCTGTGGACCATTTCCCAGAAAAAAGAAATGTATATGTGCACAGACTTATGCAGACTGCCTGATGCTTCCCAGGGGCCTGTGGGTATGTATCTTGTCTAGAATACTGATTTTCCACGTGTCGTCCTGGATTCCAAGCAGTTTGGTGAGAGGACTTGGGGAATCTAGAGTGAGAGTTGTTTTATTTCATTAGCGTATATAACCTGCCCCGGGCTGCGTTTCCATTTGTGTCCTGAATTATTCAAATGCCTGTCCAATCACAGTCTCGTTAAAGATCGTTAAAGTAATGGTACTTAGCCAGAAATGGATATGGTCTGGGTGTGTGTGTGCGTGTGCGCGCGCGCGCGTGTGTGGTGAGTGTGTGTGTGTGCATGAACGTGTGTGTGTAAAATGCTCGGCCCGCGAGCTGGTGTGAATGGAAGCTGGGAGCGGGGCTCGCCCTCCCTGCGTCAACAGTTGGAACATGGGCAGGTCGTGAACAGTAGGACCACGGCTGCCCAATACGGTCTTTCTTTCTCCTGAATAAGAAGATTAGAAATGAGCTCATTGAAATGGTAAGGGTTTGAAATGTAGCCGTGAGGGTTTGTATTCTGGTGGGCCTGCTGGTCAGGATAGCTATTTTGAGTGCAATTTGGTGAGTCTATCAAACTTAATGTGCCCACTCCCTGTCCAGGTGTTTTCCCGCCCAGGAATCTACCAAAAGGGAACACTGGCGCAGTGGGCAAAGACACATATGTATATATGGACATTCTTTATAATGCTGGGTAGAATAGCAGAAAATTGAAAGGTACACGTATTATGGAATACAATGGGGGTTTTCAGGGTAGTGGAGCAGGGCAATTTGAGGTTGCAGAATAATTTGTAAAGCTTGAAACAACAAAACGTTGGGAGACACAGATGCAATGTAATATGATAAGATACAATCAAATGAATATCCATAAAAACGATCTCTAGAGGGAGACCTGCCAAATTATTAAGTGCTTGCTCGTTAGGAATAAGGCTGTGGAAGGGGTGAGGAAGGCTTCTACCTTTGGCTTCATGAGCCTCAGCCATATTTGAATATTTGTATATCACACAAATGATGGTAATTTTTAAACAGAAAAACTTATGTTTGCATTAAGTGGCTCGACTTGTCTAATGTTCTTGTTTTGTGTGTCTTTTCATTCTGTTTTCTATTTTAGATTCTGGACGAATTCAAAAAGGATTCCTCCGTGTTCATCTTGGGGTGAGGCACCTCTTCTGGGTTATTGTTCTGGGCGGAGGTGCCGGGCATTAACGCATTTGTGGGTCCTGTCGGCCCGGCCAGCTGGTTCCGGGAGGGCCACCTCTCTGGCAGGCACTGGGGTCCATAGGGACAGGGTGCCCCTACTGAGGAACTGGCTGCCCCAAGCCTGTGTCATGAATAAACACGCGCAGCAGCAGGGCTTGTGTGGTATGGGGTTGGGGGCCTGGAAGTTTCTGCAGAGAAGCCTGCTTGCTTCAGAACCTCCTTTCCCAGAGATGAATCGGGGGAAATTCCTGGTTAAGCAAATGAATCAAAGCATACAAAGTGCTTCACACGGTGCCTGGTGAGGCTTGTAAATAGTGATGATGATTTTATTTATTTATCTATTTATTTTTTGTTTTGGGGAAGAGGTAATTATGTTTACTTATTTATTTTAATGGAGGTGCTGAGGGTTGAACCTGGGACGTCATGCACGCTAGGCATATGCTCTACCACTGAGCCCTCCCCCCAGAACGAAGCTGAATTTTGTATAGTATTCTAATGAAAAGATCAGTGTTGGCCCATGAGACTGGTTAGGAAAGAAGGTTAGAAATACACTCAGAAACAGTATACTTTTAGATCCTGAGTGTTTAGTAAAGAGAGAAACCTTCAAGCATGTTTTATCTCCTATATTCAAAAAAAGATCCCCTCTTCCCCGCTAGCAAGTGTTCAGGGAAAAGTACGGATTTCCCTGGAGAGCCCTGCTCTGCGGCATGCACTTACCACAGAGATAAGGGTTACTTGTGCCAGTCCTGTGAGGTCCTGGGTTTTTGGTAGCTACGAACATCCTCTCCACGAGGCCATGGGTCAGTGAGCCGCTGGCCGATGTGGAGGTGTGGCATCTCCCTTGATCCAGGGTGAAGGATTCCCTCATCTCAAATGGAAAATTCTTCCAGCAGTGGTCCTCCGTGGGCCCTCATGTTGCAGGCTCCAGCTGGTTCTCCAGTCTGTCAGAGTCAGGGGCTTCACCCAGCCCCTATTCCTGCGTCAGAGCCCATGATGGCCGGCTCAGCAGACTCTGGGGTTCTGTCTCCTACATCAGCTCCCCTGCATGCTGTCTACATCCAGCCCTGCCAATGCATTTGCCACACACGCCTGTCTGTGCCCTCCCTCCCTCTTGCCTTCTCTTCCTCACACCTGAACCACCTGGGAGCAGCTAAGTGTAGATACCAGGGACTGATTCTGTGAGGTTCTGGTGTCAGGGCTTCTCTTTGAATCCTCCTGGGTCAGGGATGTCGTCTGGGTCACCTTCGTCTTCCTGTTGGCCAGCCTGCACCTGGCACCGTGGGGGCCCTCGGCAGGGTGTCTGGGTGGCTGGCCTGTTGGCTAAAATCGCCTCTTCCCTGGTGGATGTCGCTCTCTAAACACCCTCTCCTTCCCCCGAGGCAGCAACACGGACCGGCCAGATGCCTCTGCTGTTCACCTGCATGACTTCCAGCGGTTTCTCTTACATGAACAGCAGGTGAGAGGACAGTGGGGCAGGGTTCCTGGGGGGAGATGACCGGGCAGTTTCTCACCTTCTCACCACTTGCCGCCTGCTGCCATGAAACAGTTGTAGCCTCCCTGTCCAGTGCCGCCTTGGGGGCTTAGGCTCTGGAATGAGATTGGCCTCTTATCAGCACCCTTTCCAGGCACAGATGGAGTGAGGGAAGCCTGGAAATACTCCAGGGCAGGCGGTGTGTCCTCACCTGCAGGTTCTGCTCCTCTGCCAGGCTCATCTCAGGTGTCACTTCCCCAGGAAGTCTTCCCTGACTGACAGAGGATGTGACTAAGGTGCACGAGCTTGCGGGTCCTCCCCAGGATAAGACAGCCCAGCTGCCCTTAAATGAATGACACGTGGGAAGTCTTCTGGAGTGTGTGTGTCCGTCCAGGAGCTTGTGGCTGAGTCTGAGCAGTTTTGTGTTGGGTGGCGGTTTTCTCAGGGGTGGTCCTGCCCCAGCACAGTGGCTGCAGATGCAACTCGGGGCTGCTACTGGCATCCAGTGGGTAGAGACCGAGGATAAGAAGCCGAGGCCAGCCCTGCTACAGCAAGGGATTACCCAGCCCCAAGACTCTGTAGTGCCACAGCTAAGACTGAGTCAGTGACGTAACCCTGACGTCTTCTCACTAGTTGTGTGACCTTGGGCAGGTGGTGCGACCTGTCTGTGCCCCAGTTCCCTCCTCTTTACGTGGGGGTGAGAGCCCTGCCTCTCGGAATTGTGGGGATCAGAGAAGATCATATGGCTCTTTGTGTGGCTGTATCAGCATGTATACACATGCAGATGCATAGTTGCTCATCTAGTTAAAATTTTTATTTATATGCCTAGAGTTTCATTTACTTTTATTCTCTTCAATTTTTTTGTTCTTTTTAAAATAGACTACGTTTAGAGCAGTTTTAGGTTCGTAATATTCAGTTCATTTTTCAAAACCTTTGTATCACCGAACATCTCAAACATACACAATAATAGACAGACTGATGCCGTAAACCACCCTATACCCATCAGATTACAAAAGGATGAATGTTTTACCACTTTGATTTCATCCATCCTCCATCTCCACACCCACATGTCTCCACCCCCTTCCTTCCTTCTTCATTGCCTTGCTGGAAAATTCTAAAGTAAACCCCAGACCATGTACCATTTCATTTTGAAATACCCCATTATGCCTCTCTTATGAAGTGGACTTGTGTTTTTACAAGTCATACTCCTGTTACACCTTACATGATCAACACTGAGTTCTTAGTGTCAGTGTCCCTCCCACATTCAGATTTCATTGGTTGTAGGCGAGATAATGGACAGACACAGTCTTGCAGGAGGCCAGGAAATGTGGTCGCGACTGTGGGTCCTCATAAGTGGTGACCGTGGACTTGGAGGTGTCGTGCGTTCCCCACGAGGGGTGAGTGGGAGTGATCCAGAGAAGGCTGACCTGCCGAGCCTGAGACCGCGACTGAGGGCGGGTGAAATGGCAGGAGAAGTGAGTTCTGCTGGGCACAATTCCCTGCGCGGCCCTGTGCTGCCAAGAGTGACACAGAGAGAGGCACGCAGGCTATTACCTTTTTCAGCTGCCCTTCCCTACACTGATTTCCTCAGTTTTGTCAGGAGCTATTGAAGTGAAATGGTTAAACTCCTGGAGACACAGTAGCCTTATATCCTGGAACCCACCACCTCACAGTGGGAGTGTTCATTCCAAGGAAGAGTCACAGGCTTTCCACACATTGGCTTCTTGGCTGGGCTGCCCTCAGAGGTCAGGGATACCGGCCAGGGTCAAAGTGCTGGAGCTCTGTCCCTGCATCCGGGAGTTAGGATGCAGGCCACCCGTGAGCATCTGTATGAGGATGCGTGATTGGAAACAAGGTGTCATGTCAGGGATGGGGCCTCGGAGCCATCAGTCTTGGGGACCCCTAATGTCCCAGGGCATGGCGCTCTGTGTGATGCTGGCACGAAGCAGAGCCAGGCAGTGGGGACATTTGTTGGGGGTGACGGATGCTCCTATGTGGAATAACCACTGCAGCACTGGGTATGCAAATCAGTACGAGTTGTTTTAGAAAACACTGTGGCAATATGTAATTAACATGAAAACTTTGAAAAAAAGTTTCTGTACTTTGACTAAATAAATGCCCTTCTAGGAATTTATCCTAAAGAAAGAATGGCAGCATTTTCAGTAGAAATGAGAACTTAGAACTAATCTTAATTTCCATTTGGGGGCTAGTTCAGCGTGCCGTGGACCAGCCCTGGGGTGGAGGGTGACACTGACCCGAAACGGATGTGATGGGCCATCGTTGGTCAAGGTATTTAATGACGCGAAACCTCAGTTTTCCCATTTCTATAACTGGAGGCTGATAGTATACGTACCTCCTGAGGGTGTGTGAGTTCAAAATGAGCCACTGCGTGAAAACGTTTATTTGCACAGAGCCCGGCGTGCAGTCCGTACCCATCGACTGCCATCGAGTCAACCTTGTTAGTCCTCTCTTCACGACTCATCATTTTCATTATTATAGTTGCCAAACAGAGTACCCACACTAAGTAGATACATTTTTTAACCCCCAGAATATTCATATTTTAAACTTTCAGTGGAAGATTTCTTATTCACAGCCAGCCTAGTTCCCAGTTATACCAGCTAAGTCCCCAAGCTTTTTTGGGGTTGGGGGAGGTAAGTAGGTTTATTTATTTATTTTTGATTTTTTTTGTTTTAGAAATGGAGGTACTGGGAATTGAACCCAGGACCTCATGCATGCTAAGCATATGCTCTACCACTGAGCTATACCCTCCCCGCCAAGTCCCCATGCTTTTTATTTGAAAGCTTTGTAGGAGGAGGAAGCAGGAAGCTTCTGGCCTTTTGGAGGCATCTCGGCTTAGCAAGGTGTTTGCATTAAGCATCCTAATGAGTTTCATGTTTTAGTATTCAAAGTTTGTAACACTCCTTATTCCAGTGAACTGGCTGCTCCCCAGGCTCCTGGCTACTGGGTGTCCTTATCCACATAGATTTGCAAGAATGACAGCAAGGCTCATTGTTGATCCGCACTCACCTCATTTGTATCTGCCCTCAGGCTTTTCCTTCTCTTAAACATCCTGGTCTGATCCTTCTCATCCAGCCATACACGCATCTGGTAGCACATGTGCCTTTAAAATATTTGGAACCCAGAAAACATGAGTCAAAATTGAATCTGTGGGTCATGTGTCATCCTTTTGTCTATGAGTATTTGGGGTTCCAGGGTTGGGAGAGGAAAACAGTAAAGTTACTTTAGATTATTCTTTTTTCTAAGGGGCTTTTGAATTTCTAAGACCGTGCAGACGCTGCTTTTGAACTGGGCATGCGTCTTTCAGGTGTTATTGGTGTCTGAGCAGTGTTGCTAGGCTGGTCTTGACTGATTCTGTGTCAGTTTTCCAAAGTTTAGTTATTTGGGACCCCAGTTCTCCTACGTACTAGCTGTGTGAAGTTGGGGTCTTCATGTGATCTTCTGAGCTTCTGTTTTCTTGTCTCTAAAATGACAAGGACAGTGTTAGACCTGTGGAGTTGTCTGAACTAAATGAGTTGTCACCTAACAGTGACGATTGTTCACAAAAGCTTGTGATTTGAGCACCTTTTGTATACCGAGTGCCATGTTAAGTGCATAACCTTATTTCATCCAGGTCCTCACAGCCTCTGTGGGTCGATATCATAATTCTCATGTAACGGAGAAGGAGGCATAGAGGAAGTCTGTAACTTGTCCAGGGTCAGCCAGGCGAGTGACCCCTGCAGTCTGATGTAATTGTGCCCCCCTCCCCGACCCCCCGTCACTTCCTCGTGCTAACACACGTAGAGAACTAGGAGCACGAGAAATTGTGCCCATGGGCCAAATCTGGCCCACAGCTTGTTTTTATAAATAAAGTTTTATTTACAAATGCAACCGTGGCCACCTGTGTGCCTGTTGTCTGTGGCTCCTTTTGCACTACAACAGCAGAATTGAGTGGTTGTGGCCCAAAGCCAAAAATATTTGCTCTCTGGTCCTTTAGAGAAAATCTTTGCTGCCCGCAGGGGTGAGGGCTTGATCACACGTGCGTCCAGAATATGTCCGTGGTTCGGTCTTTGATTGAAGCCGGACCCTGAGAGATGAAGAATTTTGCCAGTCCTCTTTCTGATGATGTCTTGTTCTCTTTATCCTTCTAAGGAGCTTTGGGCTCAGGATCTGAACAAAGTCCGTGAGCGGATGACGAAGTTTATCGACGACACGATGAGAGAAACTGCTGAGCCCTTCTTGTTTGTGGATGAGGTGAGTGGGCTCGGCGTCCTGCTGTTGCGGCTTTTTGATTCACGTCTGAAGTGTGTTTTCTGGTTCTCTTCCCTTAGAGGGCCTTGTGGTTAGACTGCCCCCAGGCTGGCTCAGTTCTCGAGAGCTGATTCTCTTCCAGGTTCTGAACCATCACTGTCTTCATTTTTCTCATCCTTCTCTGTTGGACCATGTGGGGTCTTTGCTTTTGCCACTAGAGGGCGCGTGCTGCCCAGGGAGTGGCTAATTTTTACAAGCACAGCAACGGAATTCAGAGGTTTATGGGGCACCCGCAAGGTGTGGAAATGCGTACATTTGGCCCTGTGTGAGGCAGCAGGGACTCAGGGGGAACTGGGCAGCTCCTGTCCCATGGTAGGTTGTTCCTAGAAAGCAGAGTGTTACCCCAGTGTCACTCAATCTTCTGATTTTTTTTTTTGAAGGGGTCAGGAATAGGAATATAAAATTTCCTGCCTTCTATGTATTATGATACTGGTAATGTTCTATTTCTCACGTTGGGTGGTGGGTTCTCAAATATTCATGGCATTAGTATGCCTTAAAACTCACATATGGGAAGCATGTACTGCTGTGGCATCAGATATTTGAGAATATACATTAAAAAAGGAGAATACTGTATAGATTAGTGAAACACGTGTCAGTACAGCCTTTTGCATTCCAAGTTTTCGCATTGAAAACTTGGGTAACTGAGGTCTGGGGACCATCTGGTGAATATTCACGTATCAGAGATACCATCTCCCTGTGTTGGCACAGACCAGGAAGAGCCAGACACCACTGTCCCTGTCATCGTGATGATTCCATCTTTGTGTTTGTGACTCCCCTAGTTCCTCACGTACCTGTTTTCACGGGAGAACAGCATTTGGGATGAGAAGTATGACATGGTGGACATGCAGGACATGAACAACCCCTTGTCTCATTACTGGATCTCCTCGTCACATAACACGTGAGTTTCACTGTGAGCCCGCGGTGGGTCAGGCAGGTGAAGGGCGATACCATGGGCATTCCATTGTGCTGGGCAGAGGGCAGGGCCTCACTGATCAGACTGAAATATACAAAAGCTTCTGGCAGGCATGAGGGAATGCATCTCTCTTTCCTGGTTGGTATTGCAAAAATAATCTTTTTTTTCTGTGGCCCTAAAAAGCCAGTTGTCAAAGCTGGTTTGCATGGTTTGGGCATCTCCTAGTAGCCACAGCAAAGCAATGGAATTAGTTTTTGGACTGATATTTACTAAATGTTTACCCTGTGCCAGGCCCTGTGCTCACTGGGTGCTAGGGATATAGCAGTGAGAAGGACAGGGCAGTCCCTGTCCTCATGTGTTGGGAGGGAAAAGGCCTCCTTTGAGTCTTAATGGTGAACAGGAGTTGGTGAGAGAAGAACAGGTGGTGAGGCGAGGAGGAGGGTTTCAGACAGAAGAACAGCATGTGCAAAGGTCCAGGGGCAGGCGGAACTGAGAGGGGTCTAGTAAGACTAGACAATAGAATCTGGGAGGGTGAGTGGCAGGAGAGGAGACCAGGAGGGTCAGCTTGAGTGGAATCTTTGAAGTCACAGCAAGAGCAGTGGCTGTGGAGCCACTGATGACTTTTAGGCCACAGTGTGAGAATCGAATTTACATCTTTGGTAGATCGCCCTGAGTGCAAAACAGAGTAGGCTGGAAGGGAGAGATGGATGTTACAGTCAAGTTCAAACATTCAATCTCCTTTATAAGGTGAGAAGGTAAAGGCCTTGGGTCCTGGACATCCAGAGAGCTGTAGATTTGGTACTTTTCCAAGTGTGTCATTCCAGGCAGGAGTCGGAGGGAAGGCTTTTAAGTTCATCTCCAGGCATTTGGGAAGGTACATTCTTTTCCAAATTGGCAAATTGGCTTCATGGTTATCTCTAATGCACTGCATCCATTGGTTTAAGAGTTTGTCTTAGAATGGTGAATTCTGCCAACCTAGAAGACAGCTGAAGAACATAAACTCTTTTTTTTCTTTTTTATTATTATTTTTTTTTACATTTTTTATTGATTCATAATCATTTTACAGTGTTGTGTCAAATTCCAGTAATTGTTTTTTTTCTTAAGCTGAAGTATAGCCAGTTACCATGTGTCAGTTTCTGGTGTACAACATAATGTCCCTGTCATGCATATATATACATATATTCTTTTTCATTAAAGGTTTTTACAAGATGTTGAATACATAAACTCTTAAAGGAGGAATGTGGTAAGGAGGAGAGTGATAAAAATATGCATTTTTATGTCCATTTTGGTGGACTTAGTTCATACTGTAGTTAAGGTCCATCCATTCTGTGCTTGGCCTGGGGCCCTGATTTCCAAATGTTGACCTGTCTCTGCCCTGTTGAGACTGAGATCCTAGTGGGCAGCCATGTGGGTCATTAATTTATCACCATACGTCAGTCTGATTCCTGACACCCTTTGACCAAGTTTGTCTGAAAAGAACACGTGGCCTCCACCCTGCACTTGGACGGCTGGGTGGTTATCCTTCCCATCCTGTGATGTGGCTTGAGTCTCAGACTCATGACTGCTGTGGCCGTGCGATGCATCTGTCCAGCCCAGATCCTAACTGGGGGTCTTTCTAGACAGGAAGGACTCAGGACTTTGGGGGCTTGGGCTGAAAAGTTCCCCAAGGACATCCTGAGGTGCAGGCCTGCCCTGACATGGCCACTTGCCTCCTTTCCTTCAGGTACCTTACGGGTGACCAGCTGCGAAGCGAGTCGTCCACCGAGGCATACATCCGCTGCCTGCGGATGGGCTGCCGCTGCATCGAGCGTGAGTATCTCTTTCCTGGTGGAGGGCATGCTCAGAGTGAGTTGAGACCAGCCACGTCTGGGGTAAACGGTGTGGCCACCAACAGCCAGGACCTTTCCCCAGAAGAAGGTGACCTCAAGACAGGGAGTGGTGTCCAGCCGGGCCAGGTTGGAGCCCGAACCCTGAGGCAATGGTTTTGTTGTCTAGAAAGTGTCCAGATACAGTGGAGGGCCTGGGAGGCCAGTATGAAAGATGGTCTCACTATCCTTCTGTCCTCCCTCGACTTCTTTCTGGGCTGTTTTTAGAGGAAGGCAGATGCCCTGTGGCATTAGTTGCTGGTCCGGCCACAAATGCCACCCTGACTGTTTTGTTCCCAGTTACTCACAGCTGCCCTGACACGGGTGATTCCAGACACCTGGGTGTGGCCTGGAGCCAGTGTCTCCTCCCGTCTCCTCCCCTCTCACACCAGGCCCGAGACTCAGAGGTGTACTGGGCTGAGAAAAGGCACAAACCACTGATTGAGGCTCCAGTTTTATGAAAAACATTCATCACAGTATCAAACTTTAATGTCAGTTATTCCTGCAGACAGTTGCCTAATTTATACTTTTTCCCCCATAGGAAAAAGCAAAAGTGAAAAAATTAAACTTGGAACTGTCAGCTGCTGTTACCTTTGGGGGTTAAAAATATAGGGTCTGTTCACCTTCTCTATAAACTAGTTCTGTCTGAGTACTTTACTGTGAATCTTTAACAATAAAATTCTCATTGCTCCATACTCTTTCCAGCACGAGGAAAAGCAAGCCAAGGTTTAGACAAATCAAATCAGAAGATAAAACACATTATACATCTCTTTTTGAGAAAGAAATGTTTAAACTAGTTTCTTCTGGGCAAACATATTGCATTACAAAGGGACCTTTAATTAAACAACAAAAATCTTCCCGTAACCCCACAGGTAACACATGTACACAGGTAAAACGTGTCTTCAGGTTCGTGGCCCTGCAGGGTGACAAGTCCCCATGTCCTGGTAGCTGAGCCAGTTGAGGGGGGCAGGGATGGTGGCACGGCTGTCACCTGGGCAGCGTGTTGGCCGTTGGTGGACGAGGGAGGTGGAGGGTGCCGGGCAGGTGCTGAGGCTGCACGTGTCCCCGTCAGTGGACTGCTGGGACGGGCCGGACGGAAAACCCATCATCTACCACGGCTGGACGCGGACCACCAAGATCAAGTTTGATGACGTCGTGCAGGCCATCAAAGACCATGCCTTTGTCACCTCGAGGTTGGTGGGGCTGATTTTCTGGGGAAGGCAGCTGCTGGGTGGACAGACAGACACATAGACACACAGATGGACCCCACATAGACACTCACACACAGGGATATAGCTCCACATACAGACACCCCTAGCCAGACTCACCCTCACACCCCCATAGACACACACACAGACACTCCCCCCAGACACCACCCCCAGATACACACACAGACACCCTCCCTTCCCCCACATCACACAGACACACAGACAGCCCCCACTCAACCTTGGCGCCATCTTGGCCAAAGTCACTGCCAACAAGTCCTCAGCTGAGTGTTGGCGCCCCCTCCAGGCCACACATGCAGCCCCCCACCCCCACCCCCGCCGGCGGTTTTTGAGCTGGGAGGAGGCTGGCACTGGAAAACCCTGTGTCTGGGTGGGTGGCCTCTGCCCTTGCTGAGCCCCCACCCCCCGCCTCCTGCAGCTTCCCGGTGATCCTGTCCATCGAGGAGCACTGCTGTGTGGAGCAGCAGCGCCACATGGCCAGGGTGTTCAAGGAGGTGTTTGGCGACCTACTGCTGACTAAGCCCACGGAGGCCAGTGCCGACCAGCTGCCCTCGCCCAGCCAGCTGCGGGAGAAGATTATCATCAAGGTGGGGCCCGGGGGCCATCATTCACGCGGGAGGGCCGGCGGCTCAGCGCGCAGACTCTGGTCCTGCCGCCCGGGCTCCTGCCGTTCTCGCTAACTTTGCCCCTGACCCCGGGCAAGGTCATTTAATCTCCTGATGCTTCTGTGTCCTCGCTGTCTGGGGCTTCCTGACAGAACCCATGTTGTGAGCGTAATGTGAAAGGATGTGTGCAGAGGGCTTGGAACTGTGCCTGTCCTGTAACGGGTGCTAAGTCTTCAGTCACTATCGCCCTTTCGTTTTCTTGGCCAGCCCTTACCCTGTCCCTCTCTGGGTCAGGTACTTGTAAGGGGCTGGGGGTGTTCCAACGATCCAGGCTCTTTTCTTGCCCTGGAGAGCCCCCAGTCTAGTGTGAGAGGGCGACTAGGGGTGGACAGTTGCCCCAAGGGCTGCAGGCACCATGGGGTGATGGGGGTGTCAGGGGCCGTGGGGAGGGAGGACCGATAGCTATACCATGGATGCCACGGAGCAGGGTGCTGTTTGGGCATGTGTATTACAAGGATCAAGAGACCAGGTGGATGACATCTTAAAGCATGTGAATTCAAGCCTCGTGTGAGGGAGAGTGTTCTAGGAGCTTGGAGCGTGGTCCACGAGGTTGTCCAGGGACCTGGGATCCTCTCCAATTGTTCTGCAGTTTCCTAGGGAAAGGGTTTTCAGATGGGGTTCTGCAGACCCCCCCAAGAATCCACAGATAGAATTCGGGGCATAGTGGCATGTGAACTTTGGACAAAAATGCTGCCTCTTTATTTTTATTAACATGTAAGTAAAACTTAACATTTCCTTTCATTGTGAGTATTGGCAGTAAGCCACTTGAGGCTTTGTCACCAGCAGGAATCATGAATATTTTCATGTCATGTTTATGGTTGTTGCAAATATCTGAAAATAACGAGTGCTTGTCACTCCTTTGCAATTGTGGTGATTCTTAGATTTGCCTCTAGATCGTATGTAAGGTGTTAACAAAGCAGCACATCTATTAGTATGTTGCAAGTATTTTTTTTTTACTATCTTAGTAATTGTATTTCAGTATAATTGGTTTCTCTGATAATTTTGTGCATTATAAACATTTTTCTGCAAAAGGGGTCCACAGTCTTCTGCAGACTTCAAAGGGGGTCCATGGCCCCAAACTGGTGAAGGCTCTGCCCTGGGGCTGCATCCTTGTGTGTGGTTGATGCTGGGCCGCAGGCGTGCTGAGCTCCAGCCTGCAGAAGGGGGACATGAGGGTGTCCAGGGCGAGCGATTCCTGGCTGGCAAGTGGGTCATCAGTTGGATGGTCCTGGTCTGTCCTGTTCCGTGGGTGAGAACTTAGTCACATGACCACACCACCTGCAGGGGGGCTGACTATGAATTCTCCAGCTGGGCAGTTATTGGCAGAAGGAGCCACATGGATTTCAGTGACAACTAGCAGGTTCTCAGGAAGAAGGATGGACAGGGGTTTACTAGTCAGAGAAGGGGGAATGCCTTTTGGGTTGGGGGAGTCACCTCCATAAGGGTAGGGTGGTGTGAACATGTGATAGATCCCCTACATTGTCACTGGGCCACCAGGATGCATTGGGGACATTCCCTACATGCCAGGAAGTCACCGTCAGGTGGGGAGATAGACCCCTCAAGAGAGAAGCACCAAATGGTGAAGAGGCTTTGGTCGAGGCCCATCCAGAGGGGAGGATGCTGGTGCCTTCGGGGACCAAAGTGCCAGCATAGTTGGAGGATTTGGCTAAGATTCTAGGGCACTTTTCACTGAGACGCCCAGGAAAGCGAAGGGTGCCTGGCAGGGGAGGGTCCATGGCTTCTCAGATTTGGTCACTGATTCCTCAAGGGACCTCACTGCATCTGTCTGTTCCCAGTTCACCTGTGGTGTCCCTCTGTTTCTGTTAGGACTGCTCTCTGCGTGTCCCCAGGGATTTCCCAGCTCTTGTTTTAAGGTGTGAAGGCTCCTTTTCGAGCATCCATTGCCCCACCTGTGGTACTTCTTGGCTCACCCCTTTCAATTTCAGGCACAGGGGGTGGAAATACATTTGTGACACAGTCATTGTGTGCTGCCCACTGGGCTAGGCAGGGGCATGAATGGTTTTCAGTCTCATCACAGCCCTGCAGGATGGGTCAGCCCAGGCCCCTAGCCCACTTGACAGATGTGGACACTGAGGTCTAGAGGTTGATTCAGCTGAGGTTACACAATTAGTTCCTGCCAAAGGTATAATTCAGGGCTGTTCAAAATGGAACATTTATGTCATGCTTCACTGTTTACAGGTATTTTGCATGCCTGTTGGCATACGGGGCCCAGCAGGGGCTGTCATTACTCCCATTTTCACAGGGGAAGTTACTGAGACTGATTGTCATGAATCCAAGGCCACACAGCTAGTAGGGTGGTGATGGGTCCTGAATTCAAGCCCAGGTCTGACTCCTGATCCTGAGTTCCTCCTGGCAGGTCGCCACAGCTGAGACTTATAAATGTGGGCCTAAGTGTGTGGTTATTACTCAACTCGGGTGGACAACATTGTTGTCATGATCTTCTTAGTCTTGCAGATGAGACATGTGAGGTTCAGAGACGTGTGGCCATCTGCCCAGGGTTGCACAGCTGGTAAAGTAGTCGCAGTGCTGTTTGCACCCAGGTCTTCTACATCTGCATCCCTCTTTGCCTTCCACTGCCCTTCACAGCCTTAGTCCCCTGGGCCGCCTGTGATCTTGCCTTTCCCTCTGGGTGCCAGAGCAGGCGGAGGCATCATTGATTCACTGAATATTTATTGGGCACTTACTATCTGCTTAGCTAGCACAGGAGATTCAACGGGAAACAAAACAAAGTCCCTGCCCTCATGGGGCTTCTGTTCTAGCAGGGAAGACGGACAGAAGACAGATACATAGATACACATAGAGCTAAGAATATGAAAATTAACTCAAGCAGCTAACAACTGACAGGATTGGGAAGGGGTAACGTGGGCTATTTTTAGATCTAGTTGTTAAGAGAATCTCCTCTGAGGAGGTGACCCTGTGTGCAGAGCTGAATGTAGTGAGAGAAGCCAGGCAGCGAGAACAGACAGTGCAAAGGCCCTGAGGTAGGATGATGCAAGTAGATGCTTGGCTGATATGGATGAATGTTTTCTGGCTCAAAGACCCTTGGGTCTCAGGGAGACTGGCTGTGTGTTTTTCCCTCAGCATAAGAAGCTGGGTCCCCGCGGCGACGTGGATGTCAACATGGAGGACAAGAAGGATGAGCACAAGCAGCAGGGTGAACTGTACATGTGGGATTCCATCGACCAGGTGGGTCTTCCCCCTCTTCTCAGAGCCTTGAATGCCCTGGGGCCTGCTGGAAGAGCTCCGAGAGCATTCCTGTCTTACTCCCATTTGGTGCCAAGCGAATTTGTCATTTTAATAAAGCTTTTCTTTTGTATTATTAATGTTTTATTCTCAAATAACTTTATAGTCAATGCAGCTTACTTATATATTCACACACACAAGTACAGAGGATTCTCTCACACTCTTCATCCACCTTCCCCAGATAGTAACATCCTCTGTACCCAGAGTGTAATGATCATAACCAGGAAATGAACTTTGGGTGCAATACTACCGACTAGTTTATGGGACCTTATTCCACTTTCACAGGTCTGTCCACTAATGCCCTTTTTCTGGTCCAGGATCTGATCCAGGATGCCACAATACAATTATTTGTGCTAAATCCTTAGTGTCCTCTGATCTGGGACAGTTCCATCAGAAACATTACTTTTTGATGAGAGTGTGGCAATTTGGCACTTCTCCTATTCCTTACCTTAACATGGAAATCCATTTGAATATATTTTTATGTGTCTATTTTTATAGCCTAGAAATAAACATTAAAAATGGTTAAAGTTCAAATAAAGAATGAAACCATAATTAAATGTTGAAGAAAGGGTCTCTAGACACACTGGCTGAGAAATCCTGAAAGTCTTCAAAAATAAATGAAATAGTAAAGGACAGCCATGAGGACACAAGATAATCCCATCATTTGAAACAGGCTTCAAATTAAGTAAATATGAAATACAAATTTGATATTATGTTGTACCTACCCTTAGACACAGTGAATAAAAAGGCCCTGAAAATGTCAAAAGAACCCCCCAATAAATAGACATTTTAAAAGAAAAGTTTCAAAGGGGATTGGATTCCATGAAACCTCTGTAAGTGGATACAACAGTGGGAAAGGTGAGTCCCCAGTGAATGCCAGGTGGGGGCCCTGAGGCCCAGAGTTGATGGGGAAGATCCTTTGGGGTTGAGCTAATGCTGGTTTCGTTTTCTAGAAATGGACTCGGCACTACTGTGCCATTGCTGATGCCAAGCTGTCCTTCAGCGATGACATTGAACAGAATGTGGAGGACGAACTGCCCCCGGTAGGTGGAGACCCCTTATGCTACCTCCTCTCATCCTGTGGCTGGCAGGCCTGGACATGCTCAGCCCCAGGAGCTGCCTCTTTGGGTACCAAGGCCTGCCTGGCTCTTCTCTGATTGGCTTGCTGGCTCAGGCACTTAACCAATGAGGTTCAAGGGTCTTCCCTGCACTCTGAATGGCTTGATTGGCCTGTGCTCCCTGGGGAAGATGCAGACATTTGGATGCTCTGTGCAGCCCCACCCACTGGTCTGGTTCCTGGCTTTGCTGCCCTCTCCCCACAGGCTGCTGGCCATGATTGGCACTGTTTCTTGAGTATAGCCCCCAGGGCATATGGCTCTCAGACTTACTGCACAATAGAGTTGAAGTCTATACTGAGGATCCCTAATCCTAGTCTCAGGACTCCAGCAGCTCACCACCAACAGAGGCTGTCAAGGGTGGGGTGGCAGGCAGGGAGGCTGGCTTCACAGACCTCGAGAGGTAAGGACAGACTAAGGCCAGCCTCAGTCTGTTGTCCAGTCCCCGAATCAGCCTACACAGTGGGACCAGTATGGTGATACTGCGGATCTGGTCCAGTTGTTCAGAAACCCCTCCTCTCTTTGTGGCCCAGGACATACCCCCCACAGAGCTGCATTTTGGGGAGAAGTGGTTCCACAAGAAGGTGGAGAAGAGGACGAGTGCGGAGAAGCTGCTGCAGGAATATTGCGCCGAGATGGGGGGCAAGGATGGGACCTTCTTGGTGCGGGAGAGCGAGACCTACCCCAATGACTACACCCTGTCCTTCTGGTAATGCCCCTTGCCCAGGGCACACCTGCCTTCCCCTCGCAGCTGGCTCAATGAGGGGCTGTGTGGCAAGTGGTGTCAGCTCAGGCCAGACTGGGGTGGGGCTGAACCAGAATTCAGACTTCACTGAGTGAGCTGTGTCGGGTGGGACTCAGGTGAGGACTCAGGTGAGGCCCCAAAACCTTAGTAATCAAGATTAATGATATTTTAGTGCAATATTTTAAAATTGTAAAGCAGCCTGACAGAGCTGTGGTGAGGAGACAGAGAGCTTGCTCATTCATTCACTCATTCACTCACTCACTCACTCATGTATGCATTCATTCATTAAAAGATATTGATTGGGTGCTTGCTCTGTGCTCGGCACAGTGATTTAGCTGGGACCAGACAGACAGGGACCCTGTCCTGATGGAGATTAGAGTCTGGTGAGGGAGATGAAAAAGGAAGAATGGAAACGATACATAATTGTAGTTGTGACAAGTGCAATGAGAAACATGCAGAATGTTATGAAAGCCTGGAAGAGAGGGATCTAGTCTACCGTTGGGGGTGGTCAGGGAAGACTTCCTGAAAGAAGTGGTGTTTAAGTTGAAGCCTGAAGGATAAAAATTACAGTATTAACAACATACAAATAATAGTGATCACAGACACCTGTACAATGTGTACTATGTACCAGGCAGCATTCCAGGCACGTTCTGTGTGTCCTGTGTGAACCCGCCTGTGTTCTCTGTCACCCCGGGCGTGGGAAGGCCAGCCTGCCTGGCCTGGCCACTGATGTGGTCCCTCTCCCCACAGGCGGTCGGGCCGCGTCCAGCACTGCCGGATCCGCTCCACTATGGAGGGCGGGATCATGAAGTACTACCTGACTGACAACCTCATGTTCACCAGCATCTACGCCCTCATCCAGCACTACCGGGAGACGCACCTGCGCTGTGCCGAGTTCGAGCTCCGGCTGACTGACCCCGTGCCCAACCCCAACCCCCACGAGTCTAAGCCGTATGTGTGCCTGGGAGCTGGGGGCGCCACCCCAGGGGCGTGGTGGGGGGCAGAGGCCCACGCGGATGGGGTTCAGCACTGGAAATGCCAGCCTTGAGAGTGTGCTGGGGCGCAGATGTCCAGGATGCTCCTCACCCTGGCGCACTGGGGTCTCTCAGAGTTCCCTGGGGTGGCCAGTGTCCGAGTACCTCCTGTCTGTTTCTTATGCCCTATCTTCCCTTTCCTCTCCCTCCCTTTCTTCTACTTTACCTTCTTAGCCCTAAGGTCTTGGATTTTGATTTTTCAGAGGCTAATTTCGCCCGGTGTTACCTTGCTGCTTGTCGGAGCTCATTTCTGTTGGTCTGAAACCAAAAGATAGTTGTAAAGTGAATGTTAGTTATGCCTTGCCAAGGGTTAAGTAGTTCTGAAAAGAAAATAACTTTTAAGTAGAGGCTGCTGAGATGCACGTTTCTGAGGAATCTGTGCAGCCATGATGATTGTAGTTTTCACTTTCCTTGTCTGTATTCAAATGGACTACCTTAGAAACTGCTATTTCACGTCTTTAGAAACAACCAGAATCCCTTTAAACCCTCTTCCCTGAGTTCTCTGCCTCCAGTTTTCTGAGACAGAGCAGTGACTGGGCCACCCTCTGATGCTTGGGTCATTGGCAGGAGTGGGAGTAAAGATAAAAGTTGACTTATTCTCTTGTGCTCCAGGCAGACCCTCTACAAGAGCGTGTCTGGGTGGTCTATTAAAAAATTGCTGTCTTCAGAGGTGTTTTTGGAGGGGGAGGCCCCCTGTAATTTCCGTGGTGGTTTCTGGGGCCTATTTCAGGCATCCTGGGAACCCAGTTTCCCCCTTCACTGCCAGTCTCAGCGGTCTCTCCCTTGGCTGTTTCCCGGCCTTGTGCTGCAGGTGGTACTACGATGGACTGAGTCGTGGAGAAGCAGAGGACATGCTGATGAGGGTTCCCCGGGACGGGGCCTTCCTGATCCGGAAGCGGGAAGGTACTGACTCCTATGCCATCACCTTCAGGTAAGCCCGTGGGCCGGAGCCCATCACCTGTTCTCCAGAGACTGCTTGGGAAGGGCAGGTGTGAAGAACGAGGGGGACCTGCTGATGGAGGCTGAGCTCAGTGTCCTCTCCCCAGGGTGTCAACCATGATGATGACAATAATAGTAATAGCAAAAGTAGTGCTCCCTAATGTGCGCTTCAGCGTGCCGGGCACTGGTCTGTGTTCTCGAGAGTAATGTGTTCTGTATCAACTCATTTCACCTTCCATCAACTCTCTGGGGGTCAGCATGACCATGATCCCTGTTTTTCAAAGGAGGAAACTGAGGCCCAGAGAGATTAAATGACTTGCTGAAACACGCAGCCAGTAAGTGGTGGAGCTGGAATTCCGTCCTAGGCAGCCCTGGCAACTTAGATGGGTGAGGCTCTAGATCTTGTGTCCTCCCTTTGACAGCTCATACCCCACTGCCAGTGGAAGGCCGTGTGGACCAACCACCTCCAGGACTGTGGTTCTTAAATTTTACCCCAAGACACCTGATCCCTCCAATTTTCACCAGCAACAATGTGGAAAGGGGTTCAGACCCAGTTCATCATACTGACCCTCCATCTCCCCATTCCCAGGGTTTCCCTGCATATTCTTTTTTCTCCCCCCGTTTAAAAATAATTGAGATATAGTTGATTTACAGTGTTCCTGCATATTCTTGATGGTGGTTATAGAATGCTGACTACCATATATTCAGGTCTTAACTAATGTTCCAGATGCTGGGCTGCTTTCAGGGCCTCTCCTGATCACGTCCTTCACTGTTGCCCAAGACGGGCAGATCCAGCTATTGCCAGCAAGGAAATGGAGGCCCAGAGAGGTTCAGTGACCTCTCTAGGGCCACAGAGCCTCATTCAGCCCTGAGTCAGAATCTCAAGCTCAGTCCTGTCCATGTCCAACGCCTGCCCTCTTCACTGTGAGGTCTAAGCCAGAGGCTCGTGGGCCAAATCGGGCCTGTGGGTGTTTTGCTCAGTCTGTATGGGGATGTTAAAACCTGAGATGTTTTGGGCAGGAGGTTATAGCCCAGTGGTGGAGTGTCTGCTTAGCATGCACAGGGTCCTGGGTTCAATCCACAGCATGTCCATTAAATACATAAATAACTAAACCTAATTACATGCTGCCCCCCCTAAAAGCAAAAAAAATTTAAAAATAAATAAAATAAAACCTGAAAAGTTCTACTGGGAAGTTCAGATTGCTTCTTATGAAAAATGGGAGGTGATGGAAGCTCTGGGCCCATGGTTCCGCGTGGTGGCGGTTGTTACCTACTGCACAGTAGGGGTCCTCATATGCTCCTGCCCTGTTGCCCTGGTCCACTCCCCTTGGCTACCATGCCAGGCTGCCCCTCTGGGCAATTGGGTTTGCCCCCTTCTCTCTCCTTAGCCCTGAGGTACTTTCTTAGGGGGGGTGGTGGTGATGGTCATTACCACTGCTACGTACTGAGGACCTACTGTGTGCCAGCTCCTCCCAGCATGGCTCTTTTGTACTGCCAACAGGGTTCTTGGCATTGACGTCTTTGCTCTTTTTCCCCAAAGCTCTTAGTGGTGCCTCTTCCCCCTGGATAGGAGTTGGGCGTGTTTAAGTGAGCCTCTGCTGTTCCAGGAACTGGGCTGGATGCTGGGAGTCACGTTGTGCTATAGCGTGTCATCAGGCAGGTTGCTTTTTGGTGCAAGTGACAGAAACCAAACTCAACAGCCGAAATAAAAAGTGAGGATTTACTGGCTAGAGGCTGAGGTGCTCAAGAGGTGAAACTGGTCTCCAACACGCTTGGATCCAAGCCTCATCTGCGACCCTCAGGAAACTTAACTCTGAGCATGTTGGTGTGATGCTCCTTTGGCTTTGGTCTTGGCTGGGTTTTGCTTCGGGTGCCAGGACAGTGTCCAGCAGAGAGGTTGAGTCCTGTAGGTCCTCCCACTGGCCCCTGCTTGAGCCAGGTCACTTGATTCTGATTGGGCTCCCTTCACTGGAAGCATATGGATGAAGGATAGAGGGGCTCCCAGAGTGATGCTCAACTTACATACGTCCACCATGTTCTGTTTGTAAATCTGTCCTCCCCATGAGACTGGAGGCACCCTGAGAGCTAGAGGTTTTAAGTTTTAGGAATCAGTAAATGTTTGATAAGCACCTACTATGTGTCAGGCCTAGAAATACAGGTGTGATTAAAAACAGCCCAGCCCTGTTCTCATGAGGCCAGCGGTCTGATGGGGATGAGCTATGCCATCACATGACTCACAAATGACTCCCGTCCCTCCTTCCTCCCTCCCCCCACATATATTTGTGTGGTGCCAAGTGCCATTCTAGGCTCAGGGAACGTATACTGAACTTCTGGATAGATTTCCACAGGAGGGAAGCATTGCTTTCAGATCCATTCAAAGAGATGATGTTGTCTGGGTGTGATTGGTGGGAGGCGTCCTTCGATGGGACACGGGGCTTCTTAGCAAAGCTGCGACCTCAGGCGTTACCACCCAGTGTCTTGTAGCAACATAACTCCAGGAGGCTGGAAAGCTCAACTCATACTGTTCCTGCCTCCCTTTTTGATTCTTCTGTCTCTCAGGGAAGCCCATTTTGGCTTGGTTGGTTATATCTTCCCAACCATCCATTTATCAAGGACCTTCTGGGTGCTGGACACATTGCAAATGGCTCACCCTGGATTACCTAGTGGATAGCAGTCCTGACACCCACGGACAGGAACTGTGAGTCTCCTGCTCTGTGGATGAGGAGACCGAGGCTCTGTGAGGTTACTGGGGAAGGAGCCAGAACCTGACCCACTCCCTTAACCTAAACACCCCAGAGCCTCCCTGTCCTGGGGAGCTTTTTTATATAGTTTGATGATTAATTTTTAATTCAAATATATATTCTCCTTATAAAAAATTAAGACATTGCAGTGAAGGCTAAAGCTTCCTATAGTCCTTCCCAGCTCAGTCCTTGTTTTGGTAGAAAGTGCACAGTTTTCCAACTGGTGTCTCCCTCAAGACTTTAAATTTTTTACAAACATATGTATGTACCTGTAGAAAATCCGTAGTGCTGTTTTGCTAGTGGTATTCTGTTCCATTTTTGAAAAATACAAATGAGATCATATTGTAGTTCTACTTTGAAACTTATTTTTCTACTCAGCAGTATTTTTCTTTTTCTAAAATAAATATTTAATAACATATCAGTGCACATAAACTACTGAAGCAGAAGTCTTCTAGCATTTTTTTTTACAGGACTTTTTGAAGAAATAGCTTAACAGGATGTATTTTTTAAAACAATAAAAAATATCTGCAAGGTGTAAAATTTTTAAAAGATGAGTAGGTTGCCCGTAGTAACTATGCTGTTACGGTTTTAAAGATGCCCTTGGCTGTAAAGTTAGGGTCAAAACTTGTTTTCCCACATATTTCTATTCTTACTGATGAAAGCTAACAAGACAGGATTCTATTCCGTTTTGGATTTTTTTCTGCCTCTTGTTTCAAACAGGAGAGGAAATAAAAGATTTGTTTTCCCATTTGGAAAAAAATTCCATTGTTGCACTCGTTCGACCATTTAAGATAAAATTTAAGGATTTTGAGCATCAAGTCCCAGAGTTCTAGAGTAGAGATGGGTAAACATTTTCGATAAAGGATAAATAAGTATTTTAGGCCTTGCAGGTCCAACGGTCTGTGTTGCAGCTGCTCGGCTCTGCCGTTGGAGAGTGAAGCACACAGCCACAGGCAGTACAGAAATGGATGAACATTGCTGTGTTTCAATAAAACTTTATTTATAAAAGCAGGAGCGGGGCTGGACATCGTCTGTGGGCCATAGTTTGCTGGTCCTGAACTGGACACTAGGATGTTCCCCAAGTCAAGTCCTGTAGTTGGGGAGGAGGCAAAGGGCCAGAGGAGCTGGCTGGGGAGTCACTCCGCACTGCCTCTTCTGAGGCGCAGGGTTTTCCGTATCTGTTTTGCAAAGACACACAGCACTGTATTCCATGGGAAGGCTGGACTCAGTTTATTTATCTGGTCCCTGGGATGGATGACTGGGTTGTTCCTACTTGGCGGGGCTTGTAAGACTGTCCGCTGGCCGCCTGGATCTCGCGTGTCAGCCCCGTGTGTTCCCCGCAGGGCCAGGGGCAAGGTGAAGCACTGCCGCATCAACCGGGACGGCCGGCACTTCGTGCTGGGCACCTCCGCCTACTTCGAGAGCCTCGTGGAGCTGGTCAGCTACTACGAGAAGCATGCGCTGTACCGGAAGATGAGGCTGCGCTACCCCGTGACCCCCGAGCTCCTGGAGCGGTATAACATGGTAGGTGGCCACTCACTCGTGATCTGGTGGGATATCTTGTCCAAGGTTACCATTCATCTGTTGGTTCATTCAGCAAACCTTTATTGAGCACATATATGTGTCGCTCATGGCTCAAAATTGCACATAGTGGACTAAGACCCTCCCCTCATGCTCTTAAAGTCTAGTATAGGGGAGACAGGTAATAAACGAGATAAATTAAAAATACGCAGAGCACGTGTCTGATGGTGGGTGATATGTGCTACCGAGAAAAACACACTGAGCAGGTGGACAGGTGGGTGCAGGATGATGGGGAGGGGGCTGCAGTTCTCTCAGGTGTTCTGGAAGATCTTGCTGAAAAGGAAACATGTGGGCAGACACCAGAGGCGGAGAAGGAAAGAGCCTGCAGCTCTGAGGAGGAAGAAAGAACAGCAAGTGCAAAGGTCCTGAGGTGCAAGCGTGCCTGGAGACACAGAGAGGAAGCCGGTGTGGCTGGAACTGCATGAGCCAGGGTGTGACTAGGACTAGATGAGGCTAGAACTGCATGGTGGAGGGCCATTGTCAGACATGGGCTTGGGTTCTGAGCCATCAGAGGGTTCTGAGCAGGGAAGACAGCTGATCTAGTTACGACATCTCAGTTCCTATCAGATGGATTCATTAACTTACTGAAGAGATTTATTGTGCACCAGCCATGTGCTGGGAACTGTTGGAGATACTGGGAGTGCAGTGGAACAACATCTGTCCTTGGGAAACTTAGGTTCTAGAAAGGGGAGCTGGGTGACACACAGTCACATAAATAAGATGCCTTCAGACAGGGTGAGTTACAATGAAGAAAATAAAAGAGGATGGTGTGCTAGGGGGCGGGCCCTACGTTAAAAGAGGTTAGAGAGGCTGAGGAAGGTCTCTGGCAGAGGGTGAGAACAGGGAACCCAGGGGAGCTGTGAAGGAAGCCCGTTGTAGGTGGGGGAGCAGGCGTGACACCAGCTCTGGTGTAACTCTGAGGACAGAAATGTGGCCGGTGGGGCTGAAGCCCAACGAGAAAGGCAGAGGTAGGGCAGATCTTCTGTGTGTGCTGGAGAACGTTTACCCACTGCTCTGCGGAAAGAAGCCCTGGTTTGTGGCATTTGCCAATTTCTGTGGTGCACGTACTTCCATGGTGGCCAGTTTCAAGCTGCCGACATTGAATGTGGGCTTGTGACTTTACAGAGGAGCACAGCGCCTGGCACATGGTGGAGCAGCACCAGGGGCCTCTGTCATTTTGGGGAATTTCTTAACAGCTTCTTCCTGTCTCTACCGTGAGGTGAATAAACTGTGAGGTTTCAGCTCCTCTACTGGAGGGCAGGAAACCACGAGGATGCCTAGAATTTGTGTTTTAAGTAAGGACAGCTCCACTTACTTTTCTTCATTCTTTTCCAGGAAAGAGATGTCAACTCCCTCTATGACGTCAGCAGAATGTATGTGGACCCCAGTGAAATCAATCCTTCCATGGTACAGTGCCGACCTCAATTCCTACTGTTACCTAGTCCACTACATTGACGTGGAGTCTACCCCCTAGTCATCACTGGGCGAAGGAACATTCTGGAAAACTTAGCCAAAAAGTTTTTAAAATTAATTATTACTACTTTTTTGTGAAGAAATGATGATTGACAGCATGACATCTGGTTTCAGGGGAGAGGTTAATAGAAATCCATCCAAATGCGACGGTGCCTTGCTAAAATTTTGAGGTTTGATGAACCACCTTTGGGCCAAACAGCTTCTAATTAAAAGTCTTTCAGATGTTTCTTGCTCTCTGAGCCGGTGGTGTTTATAAATTCCGTTTGGTTCAGTGACCTAGTCGCAGTGCGAACGCTATCTCACATTCCCACCCTGGCTCTCCTGCAATTTCATGCAGGTAGGGCTGGATTTTACTCTTAGCCTGCAGCTCCTGGTTTCATCTCAAATTTAGTCGGAGCCTGCCGAGGAAGAACGGTGGCGAATTTTCTGTTTGGGGGGGCCGTCTGCTACACGATTCAGGTACTGTTCTCACTTAGGAAGGGGCCCTGCTGGTGGGCTTCTGGAAGTCCAGAGAGATTTTTTTTTTTTAACTTACAATCCTTGGCCAATGCAAGTCCCTTTCAGCAAGAAACGAAGTCTTGAAAACTTGGAAACCGTGTGCGAAATGCATCGGGACTTAACTGAATAGCAGAAAGTTTTATTAGCAGTGAGATGCTTTGGTTATGAGAGTGCCGTGGCCTCGTGTCAGCTAGATGTCGGGATGGTGGAGGCCATGGTAAACTGAGGACTCTGCCCATCTCAAGGGCAGCTGCCCCCTCATTAGCAGTCGATGGTTGCCTTTCCAGAGAGCAGGTCAGGTCTTTTGATTTCTCAAGACAAGGCAGTGATCTGGATGTTTGATGTGAAATCTCCCCATTTTTAAATCCTGGCAACTAAACCAAGTTGTAGAGAAAGTCTTCTTACACTAAGTAAGCCAAGTAAAACGTGACTGCTTGCGGGATTAGATCTCAAACTGCCAGTCTGTGGTGAGTGCCTCAGGATAAAATTACTACTTTCATTGTGGTTGAAAAAATGATGTAAGAAAGTAAAAAAGAAAAACATTTTGAAAATAAGAAAAATAATCAGCTTTGTCTCACCGTCTTAACACTATAGCTTTGTGCATTTTGGGGTGTTCTGTCCCTTCTGGTCTTTGTCCACCTGGAGATGTACTGTATAGTCACCACCAGCACCTGCCAATTTTATTTTGCTTTGTTCACTTGCTGCTTGGCTGTGGGTGAGTTTCTCCATTGCAGAACTTC